TTGATCTAAATCTAAGTCTTCTTCTGCACTGACTATATATTTAATTCTAAGTCACTTAAGTCACTGTTTTAATAATAAATAGGTTAAAATGGAGTCCTTACTTTATAGTTGTGTTCTTTTCAATTTGGGCCTATGCTTCCTTGAGTTGTAGCTCCAGCCTACAAATCAAGAAAATTTGAATTAAGAGCCCTTTTTATGTGGCAGAAATGTGGACAAGCTTAAAGTGTGGCTCCTGTGTTCAAAGCTAAGAAGAGATAAACAGCAGTCTGACATTTTTTTCAAACTTGTTATAACTCGGACAAAACAGAAGCAGGACGTTTGTACGGTTTGTTGCATGAGAAAATGATGTGTTGTGCCTTTAAGCAGTGAAACATTAGAACAATATGCTGTTTTGTTAGAAATAATGAGAGCGAGTTTTTGTTTTATTCATGTGATGAACAAATTATTCAAAGCCACAATCATAATCCCTCTTAGTCTGTTTTTCCCTATGCAGATTTTCAAGCGAATTTGAATTGAATATTCAGCAAGGATGTCTCTTTTAACTGATTGGTTCTAATGATTACTGGATCGCTGCGAGTTTCATCTCAGGTCAGGAACTTGGGTGACCTCCCATCACGTCCACAGCAGAGCAGAATTGCCGGATGTGTTGTGGCCCGGGGCGAAAGTTGAGCTGGCCTCCGTGTCCTCGTTAGCCCTCCCAGTTTGTTTTGAGCCTCATCTCTTTTGTCTCTTGGTCGGGCAGGAGTCTGGAGCCGTCGCAGTGGAAATTTGTGACCGCAAGAAAGTCTGGCTTTGTTGTAATTTTCAAAATAATGCAATCATGCACAATAGCCCAGTTTGTTTTTTTTTCTCTCTCCCCTTTCACAGTTTGTAGCGGTTTTACTACATCAGTGTCATTTTGATATTTTCTTTTTTTCTTTGGTCATTTTCAGGAGAGACACTGTGTATGAGTCCCTGTATACGAAAACTATGATGAACTCAGTAAATCGAAGACATTTTTTTTCTGTATGGCTCATTGCACAAAGTGTTGAAAGATGCTTTTACTTGTGTGTGTCAGGATCAAGGTGAATGACCAGATCGTGGAGGTGGATGGGACCAGTCTGGTGGGCGTCACTCAGAGCTTCGCCGCCTCCGTCCTCAGGAACACATCAGGAGTGGTCCGGTGAGACATACACACCACCAAAAACTATAAAGCTAAATAATGTTTTTAGAACCGCCCTGAGCAGCTTCTGGGCATGTTCAGTCATTTTTTGTTTTTTGTTTTTTTTTTTACTGTGGGCTCATTTGTCACTGCACCAACATGGAAGCAGCACATGCAACTCACATTTGTAATTTGTCTCCATACTTGTCTCCTACCTACTTGGAGTCAGCTCTGCCTGCGGTTTAGACCAGTTCACCTGAACAGTCACAGCGTTTTTTGACTGCAGCTGAGTCACTAATGACTTCACTGTTGCACCAAGGAGGACACAATTTTTTTGTTTTTCACAGAATCTGTCCTCCAAATGGTTTACTTTTGGCACATTTTTAAATGACACATGCAGGATAAAGTGATTTTAATGAAATATCATGATTTTAAGCTCACAGTTGCTCAAGTTTTTTGACAGGAACGTTACATTCTTAAGGTGGAAATCTGCCATTTCTCCATTTTTACAATTTCTGGTTCTGTGGATTTTCTAAAAACAAGAAGGATCGGTGCCAATGACTTCCATTTATATTAAAGAAAATAATTATAGTCAGTGATGGTATAAATTTTCAAGTGTAAGTGCTGAATGAAATTTTTCATTCTATACACAGATACGATTGGTGTGCTGTTATCCATTCGTGACAATCTGTGAACTGCTGCAAGATTAGAAGTGTGTCAAGCAGCTATTAGCCCCAAAACCCAGACTAGCATCATACATTTTAAGACATACTTACTAACAAACTGCAGCAGCCTCTAAAATGTCCTTTAAATTCGGCCATAATCGGTGGCATCTGACCACCAGTGGTGTTATTCTGAATCCAGTTTGTCCTGCTGTCATGGTGCAAAAGATGCAAAACAGCCACTTAAGCAGCCGTATTCAGCGAGAAACACAGTATGTGACAAAAGTCTTGAGTGTTTGACGGTCGAGCAGTTTTTGGCAGGGGTCTGCTTAGAGCAGAGGGAAGCAGACAGAACACACACATACACGAACACACACACACACACACACACACACTGCATGGCTTTGCTTTGGAAGGCTAGAGCTGTCCTTGGCAACTGTGCGAGCCTGCCATCTCAGCTTTCAATTGATTCTTGCTCTTTCCTTTTTCTTGGTACGGTTTAATGTCGTCTCTTCTGTGGTTTATCACCCCCTGTCTGCTGTTGTCCACCTTCCCTTCTCTCTTGTACTCCTCTTATTATTCTTCCTTTCTGTTGTTATTACTCCGTAGCATTGCTTTGGAGCTTTGTATTCTTGGTAACGCTTCTGCTTGCTTCAATTCCTCTCCATCAATTCATTCATCAACACGCTACACACGGTGAGACACCCATCATATTGCTGTTAAATAATCCAAAGGCCTCAGTGTGGTTTTCACCCTCAATCACATTGTGGTAGCTGTGGAAAGATAGATGGCTGTGTGGAAAGTACAGCGCCTGTGGAAAAGCTCGTGGCCGAACAAAGACGTGTCTAACTGTATCAGAACACACTGATGCTGTTTGCTGAACTAATATTGACAGTGAAGGTTTTCCACATACCAGGATGTGGCTGTATAAGTGAGGCAGCCTTGAAAAGCCTCCATGTATCACCTGTTCATGAATCTAGCAAGTACAGATTAATAGCAAAATATACTCCTGCTATCATAAATCTGCAGTTACACTGAATTAGTAACGTAAGACATTCCAGTGTATGAAAGGTGTAATGATAATTCTCGCTCCTCGCTGTTTTTTCTCCACACCAATTTTCACTCCTCCTGCCCTCTCTTCACTCTCACTCTTTCAGTTTTCCTCCACCGTGTCTCACTCACTCCTCCTCCTCCTCCTCCTCCTCTTCCTCCTCCTCAGTAAATCCTTCCCTCACTCTGTCTGATCACCAGAGGTTTTATGGCCAACTGTCCTAGATTTTCCATTTTAGCTATATTTAACCTTGACTTCCAGCAGCAAATCATCCAGGTTTTAGTCAGAAGGCTCCCCCCATCACTCTGACTATAAAAAAAACTGTGTTCTAAAGGCCCTGTCACATTAATCACATTGAAGTAAACACAAGAAAAGTAGGCGTTTTGGAATATAGTATATAGTATAGAATACACAACACTGGTTGGCACAGGAGTGTAGAAGGCTGCTTTTATACCAAATGTTCTTTATCGGCTATAAATGTATTCAGATTTGTGTAAGATGCATTAACACATGACTCCTAAAATCTAAAAAAAAAATGAGCTTAGTGCTGCTGACTTTTAGTGTCACAAATAGGCATTAACTTTAAATATATGCGCCCTTTTGCACTTTCTAGTTTTAAAGGATGAAGTTAGCACATTTCTGCATTTATTACAATGTCAGAAAATCCCATTAAACGACCAGAAAAAACCGACCCTACACTTCAAAAAATAAAGGTGCTGACTAGAGCTGAAAATGGTTTTTCACACTGAACATTTTTAGTCCCACGAAGAACATTTTAGGAAGAAGTTCTTTAATGATTGATTTCTGTAAAACAGCTCCTTAGAAAACCCTAAAGGTGCCTTAAAGAACCATAAAAAATGGTTCCTTCAGGCCCAATAGCAAGAACTTTATCAAAAAAAAAGATTATTTAGGGAATCATTTTCAAAATAGTTGCTTGGTTCACAGGACTTGACAATCATTCATGTCATTTTTAAGGAAAGCAGTCAAATGTAAGAATTCACAGCATTTCTAGGTTGCATTCATCATAATACATTTCATTTTTTGGGTTTCTGGTCTGTTGGTCAGATGGAACAATATATTTCAAGATGACAACTTAGGATATGAGGAACTATGACGGTCATTTCTCACTGATTTCCGATATTTTGTAGACCAAATACATAACTAATAAAGAAACCAAGCTCTGTTTTCTCTATTGCCTGCCACCAAACTACAGAACTCCACTAAAAATTAAGGACCTTTCATACTTTAACGAACCAAATGAAATACATGAAGAGTCAGCCCCTAAATAAAGACGTTCTTCAATCGACGATGGCGCCTTGTGGAACCAGAAACCCTTCTGAAGAAACATTATGTCTATGTCTGGGATACCAAAGCCTGACAGTTTATTCCTCTGTGCCACTGAGTTCCGTTATTGTCAAAAAACCCAACTAAAACACATCAGTGAGCAACGCTGCGCACTGGTTGACACGTTTCATGTTCCTAGTTTAGTTTGAGTCAGTTGCAAACAAACTGTCCCACAACTGTAAATACTCACAGAACACAAAAAGTGCATTAGCCCCCAGCCAAAAATAGTCCATAATACTCCTGCCAGAGTAATGGGTACTAACAACTATGGTTCCCTGCTGCTTTAGGACTTAACTATATATTTATCTTTATGCACCAAATGTCCACAACCTCCAGAAGAACTGTTTAACAAGAAGTCTCTGCAGGACCGTATTTATAAGAGATACTGTAGCACATCTCCTCCATGGTTGACCAGTCATATCTGTCATGTGTAAATCTCTGCTGACATCCTCCAACGCCTGTCAACCCAGTGCTACCTAATGCAGAAGACACGTGTCCTGTTCCCCCAGCATTATTTTCTATCTCCTTACTTCAGCTGTGTTTTTCACTAATGGCTCAAGAATTAGAAAATTTGTCCCCTCAAGTTCCTGCATTGGTCTGCGTATCAGAGCCCTGGCTGAGTTAATGAGAGTAAACAGAATAAATCAGTCCTGAAAGTTTGTGCAGTTGATTTGATGCAGCTCCCCTGTGTGGCCGTCCCAGAACAGTAGGAGGCAGGGAGGAGCCAAGACAGGCTCCCCATGCGTGAGGAGAAAGGCTGTTTCCAGGTCAGCTACTCCTCGGGCCTCCCTGCTGTCCAAAGGCTTGTTCTAGTAAAGTACTTAGCGTATCCAGGGCCCTCCCTATCTCTCTGTCTATTTTTTTATTTTTTTTTAACTTCCTCTCTGTGTCCTGCCCTTCAGTTGTTCCTTCACATGTAGATCAAATACGCCTCTCTGCTGGAGCGTAAGGCCTTTTCTACATCGCCTTTAGAAATATATGAAAGAGCTCTCGGGAAATGAATTCACTTGATTAGGCCCTATCTCAAATCCACTCTCGCTCTCTTTTTCCGTCTCGCTCTCTCACTCTGACACGCTCACTCACATGCGTACAGTAGATTGGAGCGTGCTCGCACATACATGCAGCTACAGGAACCCTGCTGGGTTTGAGATTTCCTACAATAAGTCGTAGAAACTCTCGTACATGATTGCTTGGTTTTGGGAGAAGAAAAGCAAGGAGAATAAATTGGAGATGAATTTTCTTTTAAGTAGCAACACTATGATTTGCTATAAAGGTTTGGGTAGAAGCATGGAGAGGGGCACATATTTTCCTGCCCTGCTTGTTAACTTTTTCAGGTTTATGATCTGTAAACTATGTGCACTTGAATTTGGCGTATCTGATCTTCATCTTTTGCTCTCTGTCATCATCCCCCCCCCTACTTTGTGCACATTTTAAAACGTGATATTTCCTGTGGTTAGGTGCAAATACAGTAGTTAGCAGTCAGTGGCTCCGAGGCAGAGCCCACGGTTTTCTCCATTTCATTCCCTGCCAGGCTAATAACAGGCTGCCTGGCCGAGCTGACTGTCTCCTCACATTATTATGCATGTCCTGTCTCCCAGCCCTGCCCTGATACGTCAGCAAATATCGCTGTCATTGCTGTGTGGCTGTGGGCTTCTGTTGCTCTCACTCGTTTGCCTGCTGTGTTCACAAACACACATCAACACACGAAAAATACACAAGAGATTGTAACAGAAATGTAACGTGTATGAGCCAATGTACCTGTACGTCTCAAGGACATATTATTACGTTTATGCACAGTTAATTGGCGCTATAAGCAAACAGGCCTTAGACAGATGGGTAAAGCTTTAAGAATATTTATTATTAACTCTGTCAGATGCTACATTTCCCAGAAGGCCTTTCCTTTTCTATTAAAAGGAAAACAGATTTTCTTAAAAATCAATGCAACATGCCAAATCTGATAAACAGTGTAAAATGCAGTCTTCATGCTTGTGATGGTTAAACACAATAGTATGGTTATTAAATCAAAATGCTCATGTCTTGTAGCTGTTATGTAATCGTTGGCTGGTCGACTGCGTGTGTGCGTTGCCAGGACTGTTTGTCAACAGAGCGTGTTGTTGCAGGTTCGTGATTGGTCGAGAGCGTCCGGGTCAGCAGAGCGAGGTGGCCACGCTCATCCAGCAGACCCTGGAGCAGGAGAGGAGACAGAGGGAACTACTAGAGCAGCAGTACGCCCACTATGATGCTGACGATGACGAGGTATTGACCACACACAACCCAGGCCGCTGCAGTGAAGCTGCAGTATAGGATTGGTGTAAAATGCCCGCCCCTTAGTAGGAGGAACACTATCTTACAGTAATAAACCTCTTTACATCTGCGTTTATTTGAAGTCCATCTGCCGTCAAACTGCTTACACATGACACTGTCGCGGGAAAAGCAAGGCTGCTCGATGTCACTTAATGTAAATCAGCTCCTTTCTCATGACAGTCGACTGGACGTTTTAGCTTATTAGCTCCATAAACCTGATTGACAGGAGGCTTTGATGCTCGCACACAAAACACTCCCTCACACAGACGCGCATACTAAGAGGATGCCATCCGAGCTTCAGTCCTAGAAAGCATCACTTAGCGTCTCCTTCCCCGATTCTGCTGCTTACTCACTGTGCCTTTAATCCACCAAACACTGAGCTCACGGCCCTGCAACTCATTCTATCTGTGTGTGTGTGTGTGTTTGTTTTCCATGTAGGCACACTCATGCTGTGTATACACATAAAATAACACACTGTAGTTGCATGAATCAATGCAGTACATCCTTGCTGACATACACAGCTGCACTCATGCGTGGATTTACATGCTGACACACGCTCAGGCATCTCTCCTCGCGTTGTTTTCATCAGTGCCGTTTGATTTTTCCTGGTGGACGGCGGATTGAGAGTCTTCATGCTTAAGAAACTCATCATCAGGCTCGGGAGGCTGATCCCAGGACTTCTGTTATCACGACTCTCGACTGCATGTAACACTGTCAGCTCTTATTAAAGCTCCTGTAGCAAATTAAAGCACTAATTCAGCCATTAGCAAAGACCTCATCATGCTTTGCAGACTTAAACACATAAGAAATTTGTTTTCTTCCTGCTGTTTATCGTCCTTTCAGATGAGTGCATAATGGAAATCAAAATAAACCCAGGGGTACAAGTTGAGATTTCTTATGTAAAGGCCCGGCCTTTCCAATGGATCAGATCCACATGAAGACATATAAACACAGGAATGGTTGACTACATTAAACTACTGTTAATCCATACATAGATTAGAAGCTACTGTAAAACACTCATGGAATCTGCCACTGTGGAGCACTAAAGCATCAGTGATTCCTGCATAGCTGCTGATAGGGTAAACAGTTACAGAACCATTACCAAGTGTGTGGGGCAGTAAAAAAAAAATCCATCAATATTAATATCTCTATAAATATTAGAACGAGTCTTCATTGGGTTGGTGGGTGGAAGTTATTTCTCAATCTGAGGTCTGTGCGGCTTGATGAGACATAACTCTTTATTGGCAGTGTGAGAGGAAGGGATGCTCCTTCACACATCAAACAATAGACCAACACGCACACATCAGCCCAGTAGTATATTAGACTGTATGTGATCTTACACAGAGGTGTGCCATCTGCTTTACCACTGCAAAGTAATGCAGTCTTTCACTTTAAGCTGCAGTAGGTGGAAATCTGGAAAATGCACGGACCAAATATAAAAGATGGATGTAGCCACTGTGATGTGAAACACTGGTTTGGAAGCTGCCATTTTGAAGAACTGAATTTGCCATTTGGTGATTCCATCTTCATCTTTTGAAACCAAAATACTAAACATGAACCCTGACACTATGCTTTATTCAAAAGGGCTTGTAACGAGTGCTTGAGACCACAAACTCACAAAAAAATGTTTACTGAGGTAACAGATAAAAGAAGAAATAGGGCCATTTTCTCGCGGACTTCTTTACAATGTTATTTATTTTTGAAGCCAGGGAAGTTGCCCCCTTTTGGCTCATAGAAAGAATGCAGATTTAGGGCACTTCTACATTGGCTTCACTTTCCAGGCTTACAGCATATGTTCTCTTTTATGCACAGTCTATGGATAAAAGCAAATAGATTTTCTGAAAGCTAAAAACTAAACCAAGAGGTGGTTCACAAGTGTAGTTTCCTGTCAGACCACTTGAATTACAATATGCTTGTTAGTAATACATTTTTGTCCAATGATGCCAAAAACAAATAGTGTCTACCCCAGATTTGTAATAATAATGTTCTGATTAAGCACTTAATGGCCTGAAATGTTTTACTCCACTGATCATTTGAACTACTCACATTATTAGTAAGTCAGTAGAAGATTAATAGAAAATGTTTTTTGTTAGTTAACTCATTTACCCAGCAACATTAGCAGCATGCTAACATGTATTGAAACATTAAGTGTGATAAGTCAGATGTTATTCATGTAATGTGGTTTTAGATGGAAGTATTTGGCAATTTAAAATTTGACCTGAGAATGACATTAAATGTAACGTTAAAGCATCACCAAGCACATCATGGTTTTCAGATTTTCATGGCATCCCATCCAGTAGTTGTTGAGATAGCCAATACATTTAACTGATAATTAAAATGATAATAGTTGCCTTTTATCAAAGTACAGCTTTGCTGGTTTGTGTAAAAACAGCTCAGAAGACAAACAGAAAAAAGCCAACAAAGTAATCAAGGATAAACAAGACCAACTGTTTCCCATTTCACACACTTGTAATTATAAAACTGTACTGACAGACTTTGTCTGTCACAGCAGCATCAACACAAGTAGACACACACAGACACACACAGAATATGTTCATGTGATGTGAGATGGATGGCAGAGATATTGATGAGAAAGATTTGCATTTATAACATGTGATGCATCCATGCTATCAGACATACTTAACACAGTTGAGAATAGTCGTGTGAGAGCTAAAAATAAAAAGAACTAAAAATTGACAACTTTGCACTACATCCATGAAATGAGTTTAATTCCCTCGTGGAACAGACTTTGCCTGGCTTGCTCCGTAACTTCTCTCATGTTTAGCACAAGGTTAGATTAAAAAAAATGTCTTTCCCACTTGTTAAGCAGTGTTAGCAGAAAAAAAGCAATATGAACATTTTAAAAAAGCAAAACAAAGGCAAACAATGAATCTAAATTCTGCAGACTAAGTTTTGGTTGTTCAACTTGTAGATTAATTGACAAAATAAGTTGGCTCCAACAGGTAACTTGATCAAATACAGATATTAGGTTCAATAAAACGATACTGTCAATACTTTCAGTGCACACAAATTTAAATCAGAACCCGTCACATTGGCTTCTGTGCGCTCTTCCTCCTGTCAGAGCAGCAATCACAGCCCTTTCCTCCAGCACTCAGACTCATATTAGACATTCATAGTAACGATCATCACATTCTGAGTGTCCTCTGAACAACAACAGGATTTTTCCAGAAATTGTCCCTTTCCCGCTGATTCTTCATGCAGGAGGTAGTAGGTCTTTATCATATGTAAATTGGTGTTTGACTGCCGGCCTTTTATTCAGTGCTTAACTCCACCCTCAGTAAATAGGACCTTAATGTAAGATAATGGTACCATTGCAACAACCCAGCCTGTAATGGAAATGGAACCATTTGTTGGCCGCGCATGCAAACAGATCCGGCCTGAGCGCTGTTATCTGAGTGGAAAATTGATGCAGGAAAGTGCACAGAAAGACAAGACGAGAGGATATAGGCCAATATAATGAGAGCAGAGATGAGTCCAGAGACACAGAAGTGTGTGTGCATGTGTAATACATGTGCATGAGAGCAAGACAGAAAGACAAGTAACAGTGGAAATACACTCGCCTCGCTAGTACAGGGTTGGACCCCCTTTTTTAATGCAGAACTTCTTTAATTCTTCATGACATAGATTCAACAAGGTGCTGGAAACATTCCTTAGAGATTTTGGGCCATACTTACATGATAGCTTCCTGCAGTTGTTGCAGATTTGGGGGCAGCAGCTTCATGATGCAAATCTTGTGTTCCACCAAATCCCAAAAGTGCTCTATTGGATTGAGATCTGGAGTACAGTGAACTCATTGTCTTGTTTAAGAAATCAGTCTGAGATTGAACAAGCTTTGTGACATGCCATGTTAGCTTGCTGAGAGTAGCATGAGAAAATGGTTGCACTGTGGCCATGGTGAGCAGCAATTCAAATGAAGTTCAAAGGGCCCAAAGTGTGTCAAGACATATAAAAATCATTACACCGCCAGCAGCCTCAATTGTTGACAGAGGCAGGATGGATCAATACTTTCATGATGTCAACACAAAAATCTGAACCCACCACCTGAATGCTGCAGCAGAGAACAAGGCTCATTTGACCACATAGTGTTTTTCTAATCTTCCGTTGTTTTGGTGAGCCTGCGCCAACTGTAGGTTCAGGTTTATGTTCTTACCTGGTGTGATCTTCTGCTCCTGTAGACGGTCTACTTCGGGGTTCAACACGTTGTACATTCAGAATTGCTGCTGTTTGTGCTTTGGTTGCACCCAGTGGCTATTTCTGTTACTGTTGCCTCTCTATCAACTTGAACCAGTCTAGGTGTTGTTTTTTTTTCCTGACCTTTGCCATCAACAAGGCATTCTTGCCAAGAGAACCGCTGCTCACTGGATGTTGTTTTCTTTTTTCGAGAATCCCAGTCGATTAACAGTTTCTGATATACTCAGACCAGCCTGTCTGACACCAACAACCACGTCACATTCAGAACCACTAAATCACCTTTCTTCAACATTCTGATGTTTGGCTTGAGCTTTAGCAGATCCTCTTGACCATGTCTATATGCACCAAGTTTCTGTCGTGTGACTGACTAGTTAGATATTTGCTTTATTGAGCAGTCGAACAGGCATGTCTAATGAAGTGGCAGTGAATGTATACACTGCATTGCACAAGACAGATCAAAGAATACAGAGGAATGCAAAGAAAATTGAGCGACATATAACAAGTGTGTTGTATACAAAGTTTATTTGGATTCACTATCTGTAGATAATTATGTGGAGATGATGGAATTTATACATGTTGGAGAGAAGGTTCAGTAGTTCAGCTACATGATGTTAAAAGGAAACTACAGATGTTTTCAGGGTGGAAGCTTTAGGTTATGTTGGTCATCAGCCAAAGACTGAATCAACCAATCCATTCAGTTCCAGTGGTAATGGTCGATGCCAGCGTTCATTATACAGTGCTTTGAGAATCAGAGAAAAGAAAAACTGCCTTGAATACATGCAGCATAAAGTCCTACATAAATGTCAAGCCACAAAATGTTTTCCATTTCAGTGTTGTTAAAAGCTTTAAGCCGTAATAATGACTTGTTTCTGGTGACTCAGAGATCTTTTAATAAATCCTAGATTGCTAACATCTAGACTTTGCTCAGATCTCACTAGCTTCGACCTGTAACCTCCTTGCACTTGAGGCGAGATGGTGACTAATGTTTAGAAATAATCAAAGGTGACATTTAGAGTTTGTCAGCATAAGTTATCCTGTGGCTTATTTGTACAGAAATGATATTTTCAGCTCACCGAGCTGTCAAACCAATTTATTTTAAATGAAGTTTTGGGCAACTAAGTGACTTCCCAAAATCTTATGTAACTGGCCGCATTAAAATAGCATTACTTATATAAAATAGAAAGTGAAGTGAGGTGGCTTTAGGAAAATGGATAAGAGTTTCTGGTAGGTCTTGACATGCAACATGCAGCATGGCAGGTAGTGCAACGTGATGCGCTGTGACTTGTGTAGCTTTGAGGAGAGATGGGAGATAGATGTAAAAAGACGGACAGAAAGTAAAAGGCGACAAATGGATGCGGCAGTTGGACAGCTGGATGCTTGACTGGTCTGTCTGTTCTGACTATTCTGCAGCCTGTTGAATCCTCAGTGAAGGGTGAATGGTAACACCTGACTTCTCATAATCCTGGTACTCTGTGTAGGAGTGGGAGTGGCCATTATCCCCCTTACTGTGTCCTGCCATTGTAGTTAACTTTGGCATGTCGGAAGTTTTCCATTTTTGCAGATATGCTGTTTACAGTAAGCTGATTTATGACTTAAAATTCTTACTAATTGTGGATTTTTGATTTCAGACAGAGGTAGATAATAGAATGTCTAGCTGGGAACTGTCATTGGCTTTCCTTAGCTTCAGCTAAGTTACTCTAGACTCTATACTCTGTTTTCACTAATACTGGCTTCCTGGTTGAAGACCCTGAGATGAATACTGGACTCAAGAGCTTCAGTTGAATGCATTTGGGCTTTTCTTTTGGTTCCTGATGACATTTCACCTTCAGGCTTCTTCAGTTCTGGAGAAGAACCCTAACGGATGAGAGGTGAAACATCTTCAAGAACCAAACAGAGACGTTCAGTTGTCTTCTACTGAACCTCTTATGATTACCCAGACCTGGATGACTGACAATCTACACATTTAATGCTAGATTGGATCATTTCTACTCTCTCACCCAACCTACCCTGACTTTAATCGCCAAACACAGCAAAGCGTCCTTCCCATTGCTTCCCTCCGTCTGCTCGCATAAGCCAAGAGAATGTATAAAATGTCCCACTGCACATTCACATTAGTGTTTCGATCCCAACCTGCACTTTAGCGCTCATCCCACAGACTTCACATTGTGATAACGAGATGAAAATGAAGTCTATTTTCCTATTGTCTTGGAACATTTTACAAATCTGAAACCTCTGTTATATAAAAATATAGAATACAAAAGCTAAAAATCATCCTTGTTTGCAAGTGGAAGTGTCCTGTCAGAAGTTTAATCATTTTGGAGTATGCTTATTATGATTATTATGATTATGATATCGGTATATATTCATTCTTTTCTGTACACGTTATTATGTACCCAGAGTGTTCATAGAAAGAGCAAAGACAAATGTCATGGCTGGCTACCTGCATTAAGAAAAAACAGACACTTTGGTTGCAGCAGTGAACAGAAGTTAAATGTCACTCACATCTGTACACTGTGCTGTTTGTTTGAAATGCGAGTGCAGAAAAGTAAACCGCATGACCGACTTTACATCCCCTCTTAAAGCAGACCGGAGAGTACGCCACCGATGACGAGGAGACGGGAACAACGGTGGCAGGCGGCGAGAAGAGCATCGAGGTGTTTGACTTGCCGGAGACAGAGGACATCTTGTCTCCGTCAGACTTGGATGCCACTAAACTCTACCAGAAGTTCAGAGAGGTAAACTCAAACACTTTTTCATTTACAGCCCGGTCGCTACTCCTGAGGGACGATTACACAACTGATGGGAAGCCACAGCATTTTTCTCTGTCGGTACTTTGAAGAGTAAATTGCATTTATATACCCACACACCCACTACAATAACTTAGCCACAGAAAAAGAAAAAAAAAAACGTAATTAAATTCAACAACAAAAGGTACCAACACAATAGAGTCTAGCACCTCTGCTTTACTTGGCGGGGCTGGATTCTTTTGTCGAGATCTAAGATCCGCTTACTCTCCCTAATTCCTAATCTGGATGATTAGAGGTGTGAATACAAAAGCGATGTAAGTCCTCTGTTCATTACACCTAATTAATCATGTTTGGTTGAAACCCCCAGAAAAGGAGAAAGAGCCTTAACACTTTAAACCTGCATTTGAATCAGTTTGTATCCTGATCTTGGCAACTCTTCATACACTCAGCTTCAGAGAGTAGAAACTCTTTGACAATAAGCTCACCTTTAAAACTCCACCAATAAAAGGGAACATAAATTTACTGACGGTTAACTCATTTTTGCTTTTTAGGCTGCTGAGAAGCCAGCAGTATTGATTGAGCACTCCAGCACTGTTACGCTGTGGCACAATCAGGTTTTCTGTAGAGTTTTAACAAAGCTCTATGACACATTTAACAAATGACTGTAGCTGCACCACAGGCACTGCAGTGGGTATCAAGTGAAAATATAATATCATTCCTGATCTCAGAGTGTATAAAGTTATTCCATTCCTCTTCCTTTCTCTATCTTGACTTCTCCTTCCCATAGTGTATCTTTTAACGTCGATGTTTAAAAGGTTGTCGTTTTTCTGTAGAAGCCAGGCGACTTGGAAATTAAAAAATGTGATTGTAGTTTAAAACCAGAGCAATTATTAGTTCACTTGTCAGCACACACTAGATATCGACTGATTCGTACACACAGCAGCAAATTCTGTCTCGTGCTCTTAATTATCTTCCTACATGAAGACAGGAGATCCCATCGCTCTTCACATTAGAAACTGTTTGGTCCACAGGGCTCAGTCTGTAACAGGTATTATCCTGGCATGTGCTGACTTTAGACAGTCATTTCTTTCTCCGTCTTCCCTCCTGCCAGACCCAATTTAAGCTTACTGCATGGCTGAGCTTTGTTCAGAATCACAGAGACCTCGTCAAGATCCCAGAATTTCCAAAAAGACTACATTTCATGCAGAAGTAGAGAAAATCTTGTACAAAAAAAGACTAACATTGGAAGATACACACTTAATTTATTTTGCATTTTAGCGCAAAAGCAGTCCTGTGAATTATATCATTAGAAATAGAATAGAATAGAAATGCTTTGTTATCATCATACAAGTACAATGAAATTTAAAGAGCTACTCCTGAGGTGCAGCAGCAATATATACCATAAGACATTCAAGACATGTATTATAAGACTTTGTACAACCCTATAAAACACTATTTAGAAACAATTGCCATAGCAGAGTGGTAGTTGGGTGTTGCATTAATTTCTATCATTGGCAGTACGTTGGGAAAGGATGTTAGCAGCCATTACACAATAGGAGGACGGATTACAACAAGCAAAACTGTCTTCGCACGCCGTACACATAAACATATGTTTTGAGACACACATACTGAACTGTGAATCCCACCTTCAGGTGAAAAAACAGTATTATCAGTGTCGATACTTTCTTTGTTCAAACTTGCGTCGAATCTTCTTGTGTTTCCCTTTTCACTCAGATCTCTCATTTGCTCCCATTACAGCATCTCTTGTTCCAGATTATGCTCCTACTTTCAATCTCCTCTTTTTTTTATTTCTGCTCTGTCATTATGTGACATCCTGTCTGTACATCTGTCTGAATGACTGCTCGTTTCAACGTACAACTGCAACTCTGTATCCATCTAATGTTATTTTGACTCTGCACCAGAGGAAAAGTCACTTTTTCTTTTTTGGTCAGAAAAATTTATGAAATTTTAAATTTAATGTCAAGTTAAATTAGTTTTTAAAACTAGTTAGCTATTTATGTATAACTCTGCTTTCCTGGCCTCTCCTCTGAGAGTGTGTGTCAGTGCCGGAGCTGGGATTCTGTCAAGGGGAGGACAGGGTCGGCTGCCTCCGTCCGTCACACGGTATCGACAGCAGAGAGAGCCTGCGCAGCCATGCATTTGATTATCTGACCGCCCTCTCTTTTCTCTCCCGTCTTCTCTTTTTCTCCGCCTCTGCTCCCAACAGCTCCAGATCAAACACACAGTGACCGAGGCCGAGATCCAGAAGCTCAAAAACAAGGTAAGAGATTAAAACTGTCAGCGAGCGGAGCTGGGTGTGATTACAAATTGCAGAAGTTTGTCAGACAGTTTGTAAAAGGATGTAGGACAGCAGAGTGGGGCAAGCAGCAGTTCAAGCTTGGTGGGAAAGCTTAGAAGTCTGTTGTGTGGTGATAGGAAGGAGATTAGCTTACAAAAACAGTTATTAAGGCTATTTAGTGGATCTGCTTCTGCTAGAATACTTTAATTACAGTTTGTACAAATCTTATATGTAGCTTTGTGTCTTTTGTTTAGTGTTGCAACGATCTCTCAAGTAAGAAAGTGAAAACACAACGTTCTATTTGTTTCCCTTCCTGCAGCCTGAAAGCTCTCTGAGTGCGCATTAACGTGCGTGCAGTTATGCTACATAGACGTCTAAAGTGCATAATTTATACACTCTGTTAAATGTTAATGACCTAATTTGAGTAATTCCAAAATTAATGTATTGTAAGTCAATATGATCAAATCAAGCGGTGCGTTTTTAAGAGTAATGATGGTTCCACTTTTACATGAAGTAATGTGCTCTGACTTGAGTCTTTGCTCTAAAAGGTTCTATATGAAGCATTGACCCTGACAATCTGTGTGTTACCTCCAGTTTTGAAAATTTTATATTGTTTTAGGTTCACGTGTTTAATGTTTCATGAGGTGTTTTCATGCAATAGAAAATTGACCTGCTGATACTTTAATGAGGAACCAACTACATAATTTGGTAAAATAGAAAAGGTTTTATTCAAAAACACAATATCCTTTTTGGAAAATTAAAAAAAAAAAAAAAACATTATCAAAGAGCTCTCAGCATTGATATAATATGCTGTCCTACAGTCGTCCTCAAATATATTCATACCCCCCCATTAAAGAAGGAAAAAAACAGCTGTCACTGAAATAAGTTGAAATTGACAAAAGTCATAATAAATTAAAATTCAATGAAAATCATGACATTGCTTTTGAATTGTGGTTCAACAGAAATAATTAAAATAATAGTAACTGATCAGATTTATGTAGCGCTTTTCTAGGCACTCGAAGACACTTTACACTGTCGATTATTCATTCACACACATTCATTCCGGTGTTGGTAGCTATGATTGTAGCCACAACTACTGACAGACTGACAGAGGCGTGACTTCCATTCTGCGCCTACGGCCCCTCTGACCACCACCTCAAACAATCCATTCATACGCATTTACACCAGGCGAGGTGGCGAAGGACACAACGACCATCACACAGGTTACAGGGCGGAATCGAACCTCCGACCTTCCGATCATTGACCAACCTGCTCTACCACCTGAGCCTCAACTGCCTGTTTGTAAAAACAAACAAACAAAAAAATCAGGCATGATAGGACCCGTAAATTAATATTTTGTTGAATAACCCTTTGAGCCAATCACTGCAATCAAGTGTTTTCTGTAACTCTCAGTCAGACTTCTGCACTTGTTGACGGCTATTTTGATTTTGGCCCACTGCTCATCAGCAAAATGCTCCAATTTGTCTGGGACAGTTTTGTTTTTTTAAATTATTCTTTTCAACCAAAATTTGTATTTTTTATTAAGTTTTTCAGTTTTTAGTTATTTGAATGACTATTGTGAATTTTTCTTTTTCTTTAATGGAAGGGTGTGAATACATTTGAGGACGACTGTATGTAATAGTCCACACGTTGTGAATAAAGCTTGTTTTGTTCCCTTGCAGCTGGCGTCGGTGGAGAGGGAGAAGCAGCGCTGGGANAAAAAAAAAAAAAAAAAAACCTTATCAAAGAGCTCTCAGCATTGATTTAATACGCTGTCCTACAGTCGTCCTCAAATGTATTCATACCCTCCCATTAAAGAAGGAAAAAAACAGCTGTCACTGACATAAGTTGAAATTGACAAAAGTCATAATAAATTAAAATTTAATGAAAATCAAGATATTGCTTTTGAATTGTGGTTCAACAGAAATAATTAAAATAATAATAATTGATCAGATTTATGTAGCGCTTTTCTAGGCGCTACATAAAGACACTTTACACTGTCGATTATTCATTCACACACATTCATTCCGGTGTTGGTTGCTATGATTGTAGCCACAACTACTGGGGCAGACTGACAGAGGCGTGGCTGCCATTCTGCGCCTACGGCCCCTCTGACCACCACCTCAAACAATCCATTCATACGCATTTATACCAGGCGAGGTGGCCAAGAACATCACACAGGTTACAGGGCGGAATCGAACCTCCGACCTTGCTCTACCACCTGAGCCACAGCTGCCTGTTTGTAAAAACAGGCATGATGGGACCCGTAAACTAATGTTTTGTTGAACAACCGTTTGAGCCAATCACTGCAATCAAGTGTTTTCTGTAACTCTCAGTCAGACTTCTGCACTTGCTGACAGGTATTTTGATTTTGGCCCACTGCTCATCAGCAAAGTGCTTCAATTTGTCTGGGACAGTTTTGTTTTTTTTTTAATTATTCTTTTCAGCCACAATTCAAAAGCAATGTCTCATTTCACTATATTCTAATTTAGCAAATTTTTATTTTTTATTACATTTTTCGGTTTTTAGTTATTTGAGTGACTATTGTGAATTTTTCTTTTTCTTTAATGGAAGGGTGTGAATACATTTGAGAACGACTGTATGTAATAGTCCACACGTTTTGAATAAAGCTGGTTTTGTTCCCTTGCAGCTGGCGTCGGTGGAGAGGGAGAAGCAGCGCTGGGAGAAGGAGAAGAGCCAGCTGAAGGCCAGTATCGAGGAGAACAAGGAGAGGATGTTGAAGCTGGAGAGCTACTGGATCGAGGCGCAGACCCTCTGCCACACCGTCAACGAACACCTGAAGGAGGCCCAGGCCCAGTACCAGGCTCTGGAGAAGAAGTATAACAAAGCCAAGAAACTCATCAAAGACTTCCAGCAGAAGTGAGTGAACCCGAGTTAAATTGCTCATGATGGACTTCTGACTGTGACCAAGCAGGGTTGTTTTTACTGTCATGGCAGCTCAGTTAGATTGGACTTTAGGCCACTGATAATGTTTTTTATTTACATACATTCATGTTGCTGATTCAGTTTCAACATGAATGTCTGCTGCACGTGTAGAAAAGTGAGAGTAGTACCCAAGTTTATCATGCTTTCTAAATAGAGTAATATCTGAATTTAATTCAAGCATTCGGCAGCAGCACTGGATTCAGAGACATTTAACATAACACTCCAGTTTATTCTGTGAAAGTCTTGTTTGTTTGATACAAACATGGGACAGTGCCAAAGTTCAAAAATGGCTGTAAAGTTAGAAGAAAATTTAACTCCATGCAGTGCGTCTAGATAGGTTAAATTCACTGGAAAGCGAGGCTAAAGTTTAGTAGATTTTGTCCTGTCAGCTACTTAAAGTCATCTTTCACTCCAAATCAGAGCATTCTGCTGCTGCTGTTGACTACAGCATTATTAAGTCAGCTCACTTCTTCTCAACCAACCCTGTCTTCTTACCTTGCTGAGAGCAGCCCTCAACAGCTCAGAAAGTAGCACCATTTACCTGCCTCCTAGACCTAAACTAATTCCCTAAATGAGGTGATTGCTTCAGTCCTGCTATTAAACACACGCTTTCATTAAAACAATTCAGATGAACACTTTCATCAGTTATTTTACCACCACTCTTACTTATTTCACCAAACACAAAAAATACTATCCTGTACTTCCATCTGTGAACTAGAGTCTTATTTCCTCTCAACAAAAAGAAATGAGTTTCCATTCTAATGCAGTGCGGCTCTCCTGTTTTCTGTACGTTGATCTCTTTGGTCAGTCCCATCACAACCTCTCCTGCTCAGCTGCACTCTGCCTGCCTCTAATTGGCTCTGCCCCTGCAGGCCAAATGGAAGCAAACTGATGAAACAAACTCTCCATGCTGATCTGTGGCTGGGGACTGAGCCTCAGAGGAGAGACAGCGAGTTCGCAGACCAAGGGCAAAGCAGGCATGAGAAAATGGCTGCATTTATTTTTCTTTGGGGTGGAGATTCGCGTATTTTGTGCGTGTGTGTGTGTGTGTGTGTGTGTGTGTGTGTTTGCTCTGAACAGCAGGGTCAGGGTGAAATGAGTCACACTCACATCCTCAAACAGCCTCGACTCCCTTATCGCCACAGCTGAGCGAGAGGCAGCCGCTGTTGTCACACTCAGTGAAACATGAACACACACACACACATGTATTGTAAATGTATCGCGTTTTCTTGTGTTAACGCACACCTACTCAGCACATTACACTCCTCTCTCCCTCTTGTTCCTCCAGAGAGGTGGAGTTCATCCAGAAGGAGGATGCAGAGAGGAGGCGGCTGGAGGAGGCTGAGAAAGCTCACCTGGCTGAGATCCAGGGACTGCAAGTCAGGGTGAACCATCTTTTGAAAATCTTCTTCTGTCCATCTGTCATCTCTGTCACGCCTGTGTACCTCTGCACCTCTGCAAAATTCTGAATATTGGCCTTAAAGAAAACAACAATCCTTCAACATAATCTGATGAAAAGCCTTTCACCCACCATCCAGTTTGAAAGGCATTTTATCTTTTAAAAAATCACCAAAATTACATGTTTTCTTTTTTAGTCAGAAACCATAAATAGTCCAAGAATATGCAGTCTTTACTTAAACTGTTCGCTTGTATTCTGTTTGGATTATTGCCTAAATCTCAGCTTTAAATTAATGCTGCATGTTTAATTTTTAAAAACTAATCAAAAATGAAGTGTTTGCAGTAACAATTTTTGGTAAAAAACAAAAAATTCAGCTCTCCTCAGTGCAACTGAGAAGCTGTTACTGTCTACACTGTGACCAACCGTCACATGACAAAAATTCAGGGACTATTTGGCTGAACTACCCTGAACTGCAGGTTGTGTTAACACAGAATAGATAGAAGACAAGTATGTAAACATATGAAAAATATGAGCAGTAAAATATCTATAGTATGGAGAGTCACCATTTTTTCCAGTATTGCTTCTGTCTGTGGGTACTTGGAAAAAGGTTGCACATGTTGATTCAAGGGGATTCAATTTTTAGAAAATAAGTTTTCAATTTGTCACTTTTTTTTTTTTTTTTTTACGTGACGTGGGTCCGGATTGTTGTTATACTGCACAGAATACATTTTTGAGTTCTCTCTACTTACGCTGTTCCAATAGAGCAGCGGTCCCCAACCACCGGGCCGCGGACCGGTACCGGGCGGTGGGTCTTTGGTACCGGGCCGCACAGAAAGAATAAAAAAGTTTTATTGGTTTATTTTTATTTCCAGCGGAGTCTGCAGGGTGTTTTGTTTTGAAAAATGACGAGCTCGTCTTCCCGTTTCCTCCGTCTGTGCTTGTTTCCTGCACTCGACTGTCAGTTTTATGCCCCGCCCAGAAAAGTAAGCCGTCGGTTTAACCACTGCCGAAATTCATTAAAAAAAAAAAACGTTTGAGGAGAGCTTCTCTGAACCATGGGAGAGACTTGATGCTGAAGAAAAAATAAACACATATTTAGCAATAACAGGTCATTTTATTTGTTTATGACACGTCTTAAGAACTGAAACGATTATTTTTTTGCTATGTGACCGGTCCATAGAAAATTTTCTTGTTTAAAACTGGTCCGTGGTGCAGAAAAGGTTGAAGAGCGCTGCAATAGAGGGCTTTTTATTGTAGTGGAAAAATGAGCCCACAGTGAGGACAATTTTAACAGGAGCAAAAAAAACGTAAAAAAAGCCCAGAAACTGCTTCTGGTTCAGAGGGTTAGACCCGATAATCAGCATAATTAAAAAAGATCAGTAACAGCTTTCGATTTGTGTTGTTTTGTCTCTCGAGGGCTTAAAAAAAGAGCACATGTGCTTCTTCTGACACTTTCTCTCCTCGTTGTGCCGTGACAGTGGCTGGACTCCAGGGCCCTCTTGTCAAACTCTGCATTGATTTTCTGCTGAGCTTGACAGTCGCGGGGGCGTCTGGTTAAGGTGCCATATGACCACAACATCCATGATTTGATTTGCAACTGGAAGACATTTGTTGCATGCCATGCTCCCGTCTCTCCCCTCGTTTCTTGTCTTTACTCTGACAAATAAATAAAACGCTAATCATGGCAGTTGTGCCTTTCTCCACGGTTGAACGGGCAGTCAACCGGACTGTCCCTTACTGTTACTCTGCACTCTGAACACTCATTCCTCCGCTGTCCTACTGCACTGCATTGCAAAGGGTGAATAGTGCAGCATAGTAGAGTCGAGGAAAACAGTATATTCTGCATGTCAAATCTACAACAAGACAGGAACGCTATGTTTGACTCAACCTACATATTGGTACAGTTGTGCTGTTGGTTTGAATACATTGCTTTTCTTCTCACGTGGCCAACCCCTGCAGGAGACTTTCATTATTTCAAACTTTTGAATCGTGCTCTCCTCGTGACATCTTTTGTTTCAGTGCTTTAAAGCAGCTGTTTTGACAGGTAAATGCCTACGACTGATTAACATTATGTGGTTCCTCTCTCTACAGATTGCAGCATTAGAGTCCGAGCTAATGCAGCTGATGAAGCAGAACGGGATCCAGGTCAACAACAACAACAGCAACAGTTCTGAGAGGCTCAGCGCTCAGCAGTGCAGCCCCAACAGAGCTGCAATGCAAGCCAGAGGTGTGTTTGGGAGGGGACTGCTCTCTGCTGGGATAATAATTCACACTTCACATTGTTCGGTGTACTTATTAAGAGGTAGATGAGACATATGCACGTAAATGTGAAGGTGGAGCTAGAAGCAGATAACTAGCCTAGCATAGGATGGCAGGTCTGAGGGTAAAGCAAAAAAAACTGCCGACCAGCTCCTCCAAAGCTCATTAAGTAGCACTATCCTGCAGAGGGCTGCAGGGGGATATAGAGTCTATCATTAAACGAGAGGCGGGTTGACCCCTGAACAGCTCTCCAGTCCATCACAGGGCTAGCACAAAGAGACCAACAGCAGTGTAGCTCACATTCACCTACAGCCAGTTAGAATCACCAATTAACCTCCTGTAGGAGTCTTTGGACTGTGGGAAGAGGCATCTGGAAAAATATCCACTCACTGCTGTGACAGTGCAACCCCTGCATCACTATGTTGCCCTTATACATTGTTTTGTTTTATATAATCTGTTGAAAAACTGAAATGCAAGAGACAAGTTGTGGTTTTGCTGGGGGTCGTGTGCAGGGCTCTGTCAAGTCTCTGTTGGTTGCTTGGCAACCACACGTTGTCATATTTACACTCTGGATTTTGTGCAGATTGATCAATAAAGCTTTAGAGGTGCTGGTTGGAAGTTGCCTTCCTCTGTTTTTGAGCTAAGCTAAGCTAACTAGTTCTCCTGGCTCTAGTTGAACAGACTTAAGACTATGATTAACATACACATTTCCCCAAGTATCACACTTTTATTCAGTTAAAATAGTGACAACTCAAATAGGAGAGTAAGGGATGAGATTTTTATTTATTTTATTTTATTATTTATTTATTTTATTTTATATTTTATGTCTAAGGGACGGTGTAGCCCACGACATTAAACATAAATGCTCCTGTTTGATGCATTGAGTTAGACTCTGCAGTCTCCTGGCAGTTGACAATTGAAACCTACGCAGTGACAGAAGAACACTGAGCAAACAAACCAGACAAATAAGACAAAACGCATAATACAAAATTCACACAGTAATACATCTCACAGATGCCATGTCAGCGCCATGAGTGCGTTAGAGAAATTACATACCAGGACAGCAAGCAAAACAAATACAGTGGAGTCTAACAAACATTAACTTCTGCATATATGCGTCTGAAAATGTGATCTTGAATTAACTTTCAAAGTTTCTCTGCTGCATTTCTTGCGTAACTAAAGTACCAAGAGAAGTTTTTTGTCCTTAAGATGACTCATGATGTACCTCAACAGTGTTGCCATAAGCTTTCTTTCTTATAATTCCTGCAGTCTATTGACTGTTCTTATCTTGTGAAGTACATTAAAACATTGCACTGTCTCGTTCTGTACTGTAAACATAACGGCTGCAAAAACACACACAAAACCACAAATGCACTGCAGACACAGTGCACTCCCAGCATTTCTTATGCACATCACAAATCCTCCTCTGCCCTGCTGCCTTAACCTTCACACACACTTGCTCTCCTGACCTCAGTTTCACTTTGGACCGCTGCAAACAACAACAAGCCAGTAATCCATTTTGAGCACATCTGTCTGGCTTTGTTCTCCTCAAGGCTTTTTAAGCTCGACTGGCTTTATTTCAGCGACTGTATCCGACAGAACTGAGCGCGCACAAAAGAAGCGCCATATCTGATACTGTTCAGCGCAGACAGGATAACAGTGATTGGATCAGCACTGATACGAATGATGCAAGCCATTATGCAATATTAAAACGAGGGGGTTGAGGGATGCAGCTGGAGCAGGATATAAAGGAGAGCAAGCGCGTGTGGGAGGAGAAGACAGGATCTGCTGAAATGATCTTTTTTTAAATTCGAGTGATTCAGTCTTTCTCTCGTGTGAAGGCATCTCCATGTGCACTCGGGGAATGAGCAGAAAAATGATGATTGCCTGCCTAATTAATAGTGTGACTCTTGGGGGGAAGATTTCATATTTTAATTGAGTTGATGATTTTTGTAATAGACGTATTTAGTGTGGGTGTCAACACCGGGTTCAGGCCAAATTAAGTGCCTCAAAATAACAACTGAAACGAGAGAAAACATGCTTATAACTGAGGGCTTTTGATGAAGCAATGCACTGTACTGTGTCTTTTACCCTGCTAGTCTAACAGTTGTTGTTGTTGTTGCTGACTTTTTCTAATTGTTTGTGTGACTGTAGACCTTAGGGAGGCCTCTTCACAGTCACCCAGCAAAAAGAAGGGCTGCAGAGAAGTTGCCAGAAACAGCATCAGCTCCACAGAAGGAGAGGTTTGTATTAACGCACATACCTTTGCTTAGTGAAACAACATCTGTTGAAATATCCGCCAGATGTGATGCGGACAGATGTGATGTTTAATCAAGCAAGCATCGCTATTCTCTACTCTTACCTTTAATATGTCTTTAATTTCACCACAGAGTATTTAATTAGTGCATGTGCATGTTTGTGTGTCTTTAACCCGTGTCCATTCCACTTCATTCCTTTTAATGGATTAATTGCTGTGTGTTACTCTGCTCCTCTAATTGAGTCTGTGGTGCTGTCACAACTTATTGTCTCTCCTAGTGTGATAATAACAGCCACAGTCTTTTTTTTTTTCTTTTTTTTTTCTGGATGAAAGGCTCTCGTCTGGATAATGCTGTCACTTAACTCAGCTAGAGCACGAATGAGTTCAGATTAGATAAACAACTCGAGAACTGGATCAGAATTGGCAGAGACACAGAAACCGAGGCAGTCCAAGGGAAAAGAGGGCAAGGAATTAGAAAATGGTGAAAGTATGTCAAGTGACTTCTGTCAGATTAGTCTGTAGCTCTGGCTGCTCAGATCACTTATTCTTTGATTGCACTTATTTCGTCCTCTTTTCTGTGCAACTACTTCTGGGCTTCTCCTTTCCTCTCTTTTCATTCATTTTTGTCGATCACAATTGTGTTTAATTTCCCGATTTTGTTCCTTCATTCATCTGACAGCCTCATCTTATTTCTGCTCCTCCTTATGTTTCTTTCTGCTCTTGCTCTGACTTCATCGTTCTTTTTTGTGTGTCTTTAGGTCTTCGAAGGACACGGCAGTCCAGCCCACAGTCGCTGTGGTTCCATTCGTAGCGTGGCCTCTTGTGATGGAGGAGCAGCAGTCCATAGGCCTCCTGGCAGTGTGGAGGGCTCCCCCAGGAGAACACTGCAGGGTTAGTTCACCTGCGCCCTCATGATGCAGGATGACGATCTCCACACTATTTTTTATTTTTTTTGCATCAGTTGTGCCAATCCCAAATTTTTCACTTACGTCTTATCTACTGCTCCAATTTTCACATTTATCTCATTATCATCTTTCTCTTTCGCCATGTAAGCTCATGACTTGAAATAGGAGTAATCTCAGTGCGGGCTGTTTGTCTTTATAGGTTCTCAGTCTCCTGCAAGGTTGAGTCCATCTCACAGTTTGGAGGAGCACAGACAAGCTCTGGACCCTGGGTAAGACTGCAAATGCATTGCCATGTAGTCTTTTGGAGTACATCAATGCATCAAAGAAGTTGATAGATGATCATTAGGCCCAGAATATGGTTTATGTTCAGTTTTTCTTGAAGAAGTTAAAAAAAAAATTCAGCGGCAGGTACGATCTGGACTAGGGATGTCCCATTCAAGCTTTTTTGCCCCCAATCCAATCCTAGTTGTTTAACATTTAGTGTGTGCTGATACCAGGTCCTGATCCAGTATATTTTTCCAAGATGATACACTTTTATATATACATTGTAGATTAGTTGTAGTACCTTGTTTCACCACCAGATGGAGCCTCTTACTGTTTAGGTAGCAGCTGTGTGTTGGCAAGCAGAGAGCATTGTAGGGGTTTAAGCTACTACAGGTCTATCATGACAAAGTCTTCTGTGGCGCTTAATGACCTCCAGCCAACGAGCATATTTTAAATTACATTGGAAACAATTAGAAGACTGTTCTGATGTTTCAGTTCCTTCTGCGGGCGTGTCAGTGGCTTAAAATGTTGGCACAGGACAGTCCAACATACTTACTTTGTAATACAAATGTATTAGTTATTTATTGCTCATGCTGTGTTTATAAAAAATATTTTCACATTTAAGATGCCTCACAGTGGATGTAGGTTTGTGCGGATACAGATCAATGAAAAAATGTCCTTGATCACCCTGATTCTGATCCCCAATCTGGACCACTGGCTCCAGTGCTTTTAAGTGATGATGCTAAAAGTCGTACAAGTGATGAGAAAGTAAACCTGCAGGAGACAGCTGTCATTTTTACATGGATCCCTGGGTACGCAATAACTTCTCTTCAGCATAGTCAGCAATGCATTAATGGTTACTAAAAGCTCATAATCAGAAAAGCTCAGGACAGTGTCTGTTTAATATAACATGACAACCAAAAATCGATGACTTTCTCACTTTACCTTTTGTATTCAGGTCCTCTCTCAGGAAAACCAAAGTGAAGGACAGAGATCCCAGAGCCTCTCCTGGAAACAGGTAAAAAAAAATCATTACATCAGAGTACCTACTGCTATTTTCCTTTGTCTTGTCCTTGTCCTTCTTGTCACCATCTAATGAACACTAAACTGCAGGACAATGTTCTGCAGCAGTTCTAGATTTTCGTGTCAACTGTGGTTAATGATTGCTGATGCAGGAATGTGTGGTACAGTAATTGTCAGCACTGACCTCTATTTCATTGCTCCCTCCATCCATCCTTTCTTTCTTTCTTTCTTTCTTTCTTTCTTTCTTTCTTTCTTTCTCTCTCAGCTCCACAGAACCATCAGCAGAGGACAGTCCACAGAAACTCAAGGCCAAGGTACATGAGGTTTTGTGACTGCTACATTGGGCAGATAATGATTCACTGAATGGATGCTCTATAGTGAGGACGTTGAAGAACACTTTGCTTTCCCCCTCTGGAGTGTTATTATACTTCTAGTCAAAAGAGACTTCTTGCCGTACCTATTATAATTGTGTTACTTGTTTATGAAAGTCAGTTGTGCACTTTTGTAGATCCACTACATACTGCGTTCCGTCTCCATGTTGTAGCTTTAATGTACTGTGTTATTTCTGTTGAACAGAACTCCCTTACATGGCCCTACTTCTTCTCCTATTCATATTATTTGGTATCGTATTATGTGTTTTTTTTTTTATTTAACGCTCATCCATTGAAAAAGAAATAAGTTGGTTCTCTAAGAGGTAACTGGGGGCTTGTATCAAAGAAAACTCTTCACCACAATCACAGAAATGCATAATTGCCTCATTAATTGCAAAAGAAGTCAATCAGTAGGTCGACATAATCCTAACTATCTTTTATAATTCTGAGCGGCACTGCAAAAAATATCCATTTTAGCAACTGTACGATGAAAAATTTGCAGAAAAAAATCAATTTGGACATGTTCCCTCTACACACGTGTGTGCTCCGTAATGGATCTTGAATCAGTTCGATGTCATCCTGATGCAGTACGACTAAAGTTGTTAACATGGGCGTTTGTTGCAGTGCAGGAACTTGCATGGAAACTGTTTCTAATTCCGTGTAATATCAGATGTGGTTACCATAGGATTAAAAAAGCAGATTATTTTTGATCCTGCGGCAATCCGGTCTTTTTCCCTCTCAGAGGACAAGCTCAGCCTAAGAAGAGTGCACATCAGAAGATAAATGAATGAAGAATTTACGCACATTAATAGTGATGTGGAGCTTTTAGGTAAAGATTCAACCCAGCAATCTGAAAGCCTGAGCTTCTGAGATTAGTCTCACTTTTACCTCAAACAGGACTAAGACTCAAAGAAGTCCTTTAAGCTACTGTATTTTTTTTTTTCAAATGCAAGACAAGACTAAACCTTGAGCCCAAAATCTTTTACTACACTTTGTCATTGAAAGTCAAAATCTAAATCTGTCTTCTACAGAATACTATATATTCCAAAAGAATAAAGGGAAGAACACTTATCCTGGAAAACAACCTTCTCTGTTAGTTAAAACAACCTTTTAACCTTCATCTAATGATGGCCCACAGCCATATGTTCTGCAGAGCAGTGTTTCTGCTCCACACTCCTGATAGTTTGTGTTCCTCAGCAGCACACTGTTCCTGCATGTTTGAGGACAGATCTTAACACAATAATTCCCTGTATGTCCACACTTTCTCTCACTCATAAGGACAGACAGCGAGACATTTTTGGAGCTGGACAGCATCCAGCTTCATCATTTCTATCCACTAATCACATTTACAGTTTGTGCTGTAATGAACCATCTTAAAAATGAGAGATGTGCACAACCTTTCCTTCTTTTAGTCTATGAAACAGCTTAATTATATTAGTCCACTCTACTTTTTATTGGTTGTAAATCGCAGGATGATGCACATAAGTCTTTCAGATACATGCTCGGAGGAAAAGCCTTCATTTTCTTGATTCATTCACTCCACATGTAGTTTCTCTGGTTAAGAAATTGATTTAATATCTCACCCTTGATTAAATTTACAATATCAGCATGCTAATGCAACATCATGTTGGTTTGAATCAATAACACTTCACAGAAACATCAATAGGAGAGACGCAATCCAACTAATCAGCTAAATTCAGCCTTACAGCCAGTTGGCGCTCAGCACCAGTCTTACGAGCGTGTTGTTGATGTCTTAGGGACCCACTTTGAACGATGATCTGAGCGCCAGCAGCAGCAGCTCGGTGGAGATCAGCGGCCTGCTCAGTGAAGCCAAGATGTCAGGACGCTCACACACCCTGGTGCTCTCCTCGGACGAGGTACATTATCTTTTTTTATGGAAGGATTATTATTTATAGCTGCGCAGTATCAAAAACAAAACATGAGGTTATTTTGTTAAGCCTGAATACATGCTTACAAAGTGAATATGAATATAAAATTGTAGGACATCTAAAAAGTTTTTCATTTGTATGTCAATGCCCTGATTTCTTTTTTCACCTCTAACAGTAAACTAAAAACTGTGTCCCTGCAGGGGGGGTAGCTTCTCTCTTATTTTCTTGCTGGAAACAAAAATCAGTGCGCTAGTTTAGACGTATTTTCCTGAAATGTTGGTGCAGGCTGCTGCAGAGGAAGCCTTGTCATTTCTACTCTGTTGACAACCCAGTTATTTTCTGTTGTTTTCTACGCTGCAACATGCAGAGTCTGGATATGATAGATGATGAGGTGAGGCCGAGGCTGCGAGCCTCCAGAGGGCATGTGTTTCACTGCATGTGTGTCTGTTGAGTTGTGCATAAACCATTTGTCTGTGCGTCATCGTCACACATCATCGGCAGAAAAAGGATCATTTTTCTCTGCATGTCTGATCGTATCAATCTGTTTTTCTACATAAGCTTGTTTATTTCATTCGAGCTCATCGTTCATTCCGTGTTGGTTTAAGACTCATGGTAGAGCTGAGAGGCTGCGCATTACATCTGCTTCTTTCTCTTGTCTTTCTGCTTCTCCTTATTACGTTTGTTTAGATTCTGGACGAGGGGCAGTTTTCGAAGCAGTATCAGTGGCAGAACTGCAGCATTACTGAGTGGACTTCACAGCAAGTGGCCCGCTGGCTCATGGGCCTCAACCTAGATCACCACATCCCAGAATTCACTGCCAAAAATATAGGTGGAGAGCAGCTGCTACAGCTGGATAGCACTGAGCTCAAGGTAACTTGCATCTGTTTTTTTATCGCACATAGAATTTTGAGTCAGTAGAAATACTTATAAATGCCTCCCGCAGGATCTGTTTTTGTCACAAATCCCTCAGAAGCTCAAGCTGTTTCTAGGTGCTTTGCGTGCTCTTGTCACATTTTTCCTCACTTTGCTTATTTTTTCCTACAAAATGTCTTTCACCTCAATGAAGGCAGCTCAAATAGAAGACAAGTGAAGATGTAGTCTGTGCAGTGCCAACACCTTAAATACTAAAGAACAATTAGGAATTTATCATTATTATTTTATTTATTTATTTAACCTTAAGGGCTGCAGGGTGGCGCAGTTGGTAGCACTGTTGCCTTGCAGCAAGAAGGTTGCCGGTTTGCGTCCCGGTGGGGGCACCGGAATGTTTCTGCGTGGAGTTTGCAAGTGAATGAATGAAATGAAAGAATGAAAAATACTTTATTTATCCCAGAAGGGAAATTCAATCTTGTAAAAGCTCACTTTTTTTTTTTTTTTTAAATCAATATAACATATATACAACAATAATAATCATTCAGTCAGTTGGATTTGTTTTTTAAAGTGATGGCTGTTGGCAGGAAGGAACTCCTGTATCTCTCCGTTCGACAGCGTGTTCTCCCCGTGCAGCGTGGGTTCTCTCCAGGTTCCTCGGCTTCCTCCCACAAGGTCCAAAAACATGTTGAGGTTAATTGGTGATTCTAAATTGTCCGTAGGTGTGAATGTGAGTGTGCTTGGTTGGCGCCTTCGCCCTTAGTCAGCTGGGATAGGCTCCAGCCCCCCGCGACCCGAGTGACGATTAAGCGGTGTATAGATAATGGATGGATTTAACCTCAAAAATCATTTACTGTTAAAACTTTTAATTTGCTTACATATTTGTCTCTCTGCTCTGTGTGAAGAAAGCTCACAATTCAGCCAGAAAGTCCCTGCTGAGTGACTAATGGCTTCATATTTTCACCAAGAAGCACAGAATTTTTTTTTCTTGTTACAGAATTTGTTTATTTCTAGCAGTTTATTCTCGAGGATTTTTTTTAAAACAAGATATGTAAAGTGTAGTGATTTTGATGAAAATCCAACAGTTCCTTTGTTTGTTTGTTTTTTAATTACATAATTTTGTTGAGCTGTTAAACGTAGCATGTCTTTCAAACCTGCTGGCGGGTTTTGATGTGCTGAGGGTAAATGTCAAAATAAATAAATATATAAATTGTTTCTTAAACTCTCAATTATAAGCACGAGTACCTGTCTGGTTTGGCTATGATGATATGAATGTAACAGATTGGTACATAGTTAGCCCTAACAACGCAATGTTTTATTTGCAGCACACAATATAAATGACATAAAGTGTGGCATATTTATTAAGCCTGAACTAAAAGGAAGGCAACAAATAAAGACAGTTTTCAGTAAATGCTACATATATTGTAAAGAAGAATAATTATATATATGAATTTGTTTCAGGCCCTTGGAGTCACTTTGTCCCAGGAACGAGCCCTGATCAAGAAAAAGATCAAAGACCTTAAAATGCTGATGGAGAAGGCCAAGAGGAACCAAGAGAAAGTGGAAAAACAGCGCGAAAAGCTACGGAAGAGAGAGCTGGAGCAGCAGCAGAAAGACGGCCGCAAAGAAAGCGCGGCGGAGTGAAAAGGAACCCTCAGTTTACCTCCCGCTTTACAGTAGCACCACACACCAAGTAGCATCTCGCGGAACAGAACCTCAGCAGGCCCCACGAACCAACCCTGAGGGACGCCTACTTAGTAGTTCAGTAGTTCTCAGTGGTGGAGCTCTACGCCCAGCTGCCAGAGCTTGTTGAGTGACTTTTTCACCGAGCAAACTAAACCAAAACGAGCAGTTGGATAACAGAATGCTGCCCTTCATTTGCCTCATTTTACACCCATCCTGTGTTTTTAGCCATTTAAGAATTAACTGAGTTCTATTTATTTTGCTGTTTATATATAGCTGTAAATTGGGTTTATTTATTCATATCCAGAGTATGTCTGTGAAAAGTCCATCCCATCTTTCTCCGAGAACACCCTCAGAACCATGGGTTAGACATGAAGACCATATACATGTACAGCGATAATTACAGATACAAATATGTCTGATGTGCCATTTCGATAGACTTCTGTATATCCTGTTCAGATACATAGCTCACTGGAATCTCTCTCTCGCTTTGATGAAGCACATCCAGGTCAGGAATACAGGAGGCAGTGCTCATCTCCCACCACTGGGTGTCCCCACGCTGCTCACTTTCACTACTGAAGACAGCAACACTGGAACTTTCCAACAGGAACTGAACTGGGAACCAAGTTGTACTGGGAGAAACTGAGCTCTCTCAGAACCTGCAAGAACACTGGAAGTGCAGACACTGTAAATTTAACCTGTGCACTGGTTTACAGTGCCCCTTAAAGTATTCATGTACCATACTGAAGCAGTTCTCAAAGTATGAATGACAAGGACATACTGTACTCTCTGGACTGATTCCAATAGAGATTTCAGGTACTATGTAATCATTAAATTTGTAACTTACCTAACCCGTACCACAAAAACAAACAAACAAACAAAAAAAAAAGTTGATCAAATGAAACTTCCTGCTTATATGCATAATGTTGCTTTGACTCCGCTTGTAACCTGCTTTTGACCTCTTTTTATATTCTCTCAGTAACAAAGTAATACCCCGCCGCTGCCTTTAGAAGTTCTAGAGAAGTAGAATTTTTCTGAACTCTACCCGCTTCTGTGAGAGTGTCGAAACACATACTAAACTAACGTCATCCGTTCCTGTCGTTTTATTGTTTCTAAAGAATCACCTGTCAAAAGTTCACCAGATTTCTCTGGAATGTTCTCAATCAGATTTAGGAATGCTGCCATACAGATGGTGATCAATCAAGGACAGACGCAGCAAGGGCAGAAATTTTCTTACAAAGGTTAATCGTACCTGATGTTACGCTGGAAGTTGCACCTGATGGATGCAACATAGTTTGATTATGAAATCGGTTCTGTTCGAAGCATTTTGATGTACTTGTTAGATACCTTTTGAAATGATTTTGACCGATGTTCTTTATGCAAACAGTACTTATTTTAGAAGTATTAAGTTCACTGAGAGACATGTTCCCTGTGTTACTTCTTTATCATTCCCGAGAATCATTCCGTAGAGAACTATAGAGACGCCAGAGTCACCGTGATAGAAATGAAGGCAGCTGTGGTAACCTGCCTGACGAGCTGCTAACAGGTTAAGAACGAGAATAGTTAAGGGTTACAGACACTTCCATGCAGCACCACAGTAATACAGCTGTCACTGATAGAACTTAATGTTATTATTTATTTATTCCTGTATTTAATGAAGCAACTGACTACTGTTTATTAAAACTTATACAAAATAAGAATATTATTAACACCTAACAATGATTTATCCAGAATTTAATTATTACTTCCTTTTGCCAAAACATGATTAAAACTGTTCATTTGAAGTGATTTATATTCAAATGGCTGTTATAAAAAAATGAAGGATTTCAAGTTTGGTTCTGCAGAGAAAGAAGAAAACACAGTAGTATCCTCCCATTGTGCTTGTGATTTTCCTCAATACAACCATAGTGCTGCTCCAGTGCTACTCCAATAAACTGCTCATGACGTATTCTTATGAAATATTTTGTAACACTTGAACCTTTCTGTGAATACCCCCCACACCCCGACAAGTCGGTCAGCAGACTGCACTCTTTTGACTCTTTTATATGTATAGTAAAACACTGAGAGCAATATGCTGTAAGACTCCTAAAGAAGCCTTGTTTTATAATGTGTCGGTGTGCGTGCGCAGTTTGCCAGTGGGCTGAGGAGGCTGAAAGGTCAGACCTGAGCCGAAAAATGCGATTTCAGATCTTTCTTTTTGTTTTGTTTTTTTTTTCTTTTTTTCTTTTCTACGTGCTTGACTGAGCTTGAAACCAACGTATGGATGAGACCCTGGTGCTCCTGGCAGGCAAAAACACAAATGTATCGAGTCGTGTCTGGAAGAATTCGTCTTTCATGTGCGTAGAAAGCAGAAGATAATTGCCACAAACTGCTAGCCATGCTTTCACTCTTTAAAAAGCTGTGCTTATTCTCCTCCTCCTTTTTCTGTCATTGCCTTGCTCTCTTTTTCGCATTATGAAAAGTCTGAAAGGGCAGCTACCTGTCACACTGAATAAAATGTGCAGTAACTGTCCACACTTGGCTTTTGTTTCTTCTTTTTTTTTTCCTCCCCCAATTTTAACAAATCTGTGTCCCATGTTATATTTGTAGAGTGCCTATAAAAAAAACCACCCACCTCTCTTTTGGATGTTTTCCCCTTTTTGTTGCTTTTCAACATTGAATTATGATCAATATAATTTTTGATGAGAACTTGTGAAAAAAGACTTGTGTTTTAATGTCAAAGTAACACATTTCTAAAAGAGTAATATAGAATAAATAAAAACATAAAATAAATGATTAGAAAAGGTTTCACCCCCTTCAAGTCAGTATTTAGTAGATGCACCTTTGACCAGCTTTGAGCCTGCGTGGGTCTTAATTGGCAAAAAACCTTCTTCCATTCGACCACCGAGTCTCCTACCTGCCTTCTGGTGAACTGAAATCAAAATTTAACATGAACTCTTTTTAACAGTGGTTTTCTCTTTTTAAAGCTTTTACTGTGAAGAACCCAGACAACAGTTCTCATACGTACAGTCTCTCCCATCTCAGCTGAACTGAAGCTTGCAACTCCTTCAGGGGACTCATATGTGTCCTGGTGGCCTCCCTCACTCGTCTCTTTCTTGAATTGTCACATGTGCCATATTTTTTCCATTTCTTAATCATGGATTTAACTGTACTCTAGGAGATATAGAGTGACTGGAGATTTTTTTTTGTTTCCATCTCTGACTTGTGCTTTTTTAAAGAACTTTTTTTTTTAGTTTGGAATGTTTTGTCTTTTGTCCTCATGTTGTAGTTGTAACTGGTAAAACTAGGAATAATGGGTCAACAGCGACCAGACCTTCCAGATACATGTGTCTTTGTAGTATCATCGTTTAGATACATTCATTGGACTTGATCTAGTTTACTAATTGTGTGACTTCTAGCACCGACTGGCTGCAACTGTGTTGAATTGCGGCACTCTAAATGGGGTGAATACTTACTTAGTTTACATTTGTCATTAATTAACATTACTTAGTAGAAATCTGTTTTCACTTTGACATGAAAGAGTCTTTTAGGTAAATTAAATCAAAATAGCAATGATTCAAAGTTAAAAAGCAATAAAAGGAGAAAACTCCCAGGCACTACTGGCACTGTATGGGGTTGTTCATTCTGGGATAGTTTACACTTGTTAAAAACTTCCTCTGCAAATTTTTGGTTTATTTAGATATGTTGATGCCATACTCCTATAATGTTTAGGGTCGGTTGTTTTTTTTACCATTTACTGCATGATGCCTCTCTGCCAGTGGACATCTCAGCAGACCGGCTGGCCTACAGTCAGCCACAGCCAGTTCCAGCTCTCCAGTCCCTCCCTCTCTGCTTTCTATTTATATTCATCCTAATTTCACTCCAGGACTATTTTCTCCCTCCGACGACACCCCCCTGTCACTTGTTGCCCTTCTTCTTCTTCTACTTCATTTCCGTCTCCCTTCCTTACACAACTCCTATGGCTGGGCTTATTGAGGTCTTGCAATGGTGCGTATGCTTGATTCCGTCATTGTTGCTATTTGTACATTCATTTCCAATTTCCTCCATGCATTGTGGACAATATTAGAACCAGCTGACTTGCCAGCGCAAGGCCCCTCTCCCTGGGATTTTATGGAGGAGCTGAGCCCCAGACAACTGGCTGTTAAGCAGCTGAAGGAACAGTTCCTGGAGGCCCTACAGGCCAACAATGCACAAGAAGTCTTGAAAATTCTGCACACTGACAAGCTAGACATTGACACTGTGCTGGAGGTGGACGACCCGGGCATGGTCCTGGCCTCGTATAAACAAGGTGAGAGAGGATTTCACAAGCAGTGATACATTTTGTGAAGTGATTGGGAGCAGTTTTGGTGTTTGACATACCAAGCGAAGATCTTTTTTGTCATATTGAATAATTAGATAAATCCAAATTGGACTAGATTATGAGACATTCCATGATACGGTACACTTCTACCGAGTTTGGAGATCAGTCCTTAATGTTAACCACTAGGTGGAGCTAAACATCCACAGATTCTTACCCTGGATCCAAGCAGGAGCTACTCTGGGTAGATTATAACAATAACAGTCATACAATATCCAGTGCAAACTTACAAAAAAAAAAGTGCATCAAATCTTTTTCAGGATATTGGCTACCATGGTACAAATTGGAGAAGTCCTGGGCGATGGGTATCCATGTGTGTGTGATGTACAACGCTCTGGAAACAGCTCTGATGCTCCTTGAGAAAGGTGCAGCTGTCAACCGCATGCCCAATGGGAAAACACCGCTGCATGTGGCCTGCGAGGTCTCCAACAGCGACTTTGTGGCCTTGCTTTTGGCTCATGGAGCAAAAGTCAGCAGCTTGTCACTGAGTGGACACACAGCGCTGCACTACTGCATCACCAGAGAGTCGGTAGACTGTGCCAAGCAGCTCATCCTCAAAGGTCAGAGGGCAAGGATGCGCGTAGAGATTAGTAGATGGAAGTAGACATATAAACATTGTAATTATCTTTTTTCTTTTTCCCACACGGAGGTGCAAAAGTCAACGTAGCCAGCCACAACAATGATGAGGACACACCTTTACACACAGCAGCCCGATTTGGTGTCCCAGAACTGGTGGCTCTCTTTTTGGCCCACGGAGCTTCTGTAGATGCAGTCAACTCTCTGCAGGAGACTGCGCTGATGACTGCAGCCTTCTGGGCTTTCGACACTAAAGAGCAAATCTACAGCCAAGAGCATCACTTTGTCTGCCGCCTCCTTCTGGACCACCAGGCTGGTGAGAGATTCCTTAAAGAAGTTTCCTTGTCTTTTACTGAAAAAAAAACACACTCAACTGCCACAATTCAAAACATTTACCTTCTGTCGCAGATCCCAACCTTCAAGAAGAAGACCATAAAACAGCTCTTCACAAGGCAGCCTGGAACTGTGATCACGTCCTGATGCAGATGCTGCTGGAGGCCGGAGCAGATGCACGAGCCATGGACATCAACGGCTGTGCCCCCATTCAGTATCTCCTCAAAGTGACAGATGTCAGGCCTATGGCCATACCAGAGCTCTGCTATCAGCTGCTCCTCAACTATAATGCAGCGCGGATCTACCCACCGCAGTTCCACAAGGTATGGAAATGTGCAGTTGAAACTATACGCTAAAAGGGAAAGGTCCTTACAAGAGTTGTGTTCTGTGCAGTGTCATGATGTGGGATGTTTTGTGTAGGTGTTGCAGTCCTGCCATGACTACCCCAAAGTTGTAGAAATCACAGTCAACTCTTACGAACGTTTAAAGCCTACAAAGAAGTGGAGATCTGCTATTCCTGATGACTGCTACAAGGTAGTAAAGAGTGTATCTGCATTTAAAAAACAAGTGTATGTTGAAGTGTTTAAACGACTTCCTAAATGTATGTAGTGATCCACGTGAGTACAATTGGTGGAATGTCCCTTTAAAGCAGGGGTGTCGAACTCCGGTCCTCGAGGGCCGCAATCCTGCATGTTTTAGATGTTTCCCTCTTCCAACACACCTGATTCAGATGATCAGCTCATCATCAAGCTCTGCAGAAGCCTGATAACGATCCTGATCATTTGAATCAGGTGTGTTTGACGAAGGAAACATCTAAAACTTGCAGGATTGCGGCCCTCAAGGACTGGAGTTTGACACCCCTGCTTTAAAGGGATCAAGAGGACAACATTTTAAGAGTTTAATGATAAAACTGTCTTTCTCCGTCTCATAATTCAAGTTTCTTTTTGTCTCCTCAGCGTCACAAAGACTTCTACGACTCTGTGTTTGCCGTTTGCACCAACACCCCTCGCAGCCTGCTCCACCTCGCCAGATGTGCCATCCGAGCCGGCCTGGGTGGGTTCTGTCACAAAGGGGTACCACAGCTGCCTCTGCCGTCTTCCATGAAGAAGTATATATTATTGGAACCTGAGGGGATACTGTACTGATGAAGAGACTTCTGTTATAAACTTGAGTTACTGCGTGGAAAAGTGCTCCAATGTGCAGAATGTCACCTGATGATCTGAACAGAAACATGTCTGTCTGCGGTCTGTGGGAATGGAAAACGCTGCTCGCTGGAAGCATGCTTATCACTCACAGAGGCTTTTGTCAGCAACTTAAGAAGTCTGTCTTTAGTGTTTTGCAGTAAACAAGACGCTACTGTACATATAAGCTGCCTGTACTGGAGTGGAACCCAAATAACATGACAAAGCAGATATTAAGGTGGTTTGAGGATGAACACAAAAGAAGAAGAAGCCCTCTGACTTATTACAATTATTGATCAATTGACTGTTCAACCATAAATGTACAGAGGTTTAGCATTCAGGTGAGACATTTTCTTTCTGTCTTTCTATTGTTTTTATTTATTTATTTTTTTTTACCTCCTGCAGAGCTCCTCTGAGTTAATACGATATTCTCTGCTGTAGTTATTTTCCACCTGCACACTGTTGACCACCTTGTCTCTCCACTGCAGCGCTGCCTCGTGCCGAAGAGGATCCAAATCTACCTGGCAACCACCTTAATGCTCGCTCTCATGTCATCAACTCATGCTCCTGTGATATTCCACTTCTTGCAGAGCAAACACTTGACAAGCCACTCCACAACAAGTGTTTGTTTTTCCACCGGACTGCGTGTAGCCGTGTGCATGGACCAGTTAGCTGCATTATACAGCACAAATAAGGCCTTTCCCCTCAACTTTCCCACAACAGAGATCACTGATCAGTAAAAACAGGGGTAGTAACTTAATAACCCTGTCCGGTGTATCAGAATGTCCACTTTAACTCAACATCAGATGCGGCCTTTGAGCTGCTTTCCATTCATCTTGTTTTTTTTCCTTCAGAAGCACTTTGATGCGCTGTGAATTCTCACCTACAAAGACTACTGACCTGCTCTGAAAGGTCTCGTGTTAGTGCACAATTCTACATGAAGGCCATTCATCCCAGTCACAACAGCATGCTGTAATTGTCTAACTACATTTTATCCACATGTTAAATCTAAGTGAACACAGGGAAGTAATGCCATTGTAAACTAGAGGAAAGCATTTGTTTGACCAAGGCTGGGACTGAGACGCTGAAGAGACGAAAAATAACTGGTTTCGAAAAATGTACAGGTCTATGACGCACCCATCTCTCTCTCTATGAAAGCTCCACTCTGCAGGATTGGTTCTTTCGGTTTGTTATGTATGAGATAATAAAAGTCTAAACCTATGTTTGAGACTGCCATTGGAGCACATGGTGGAAACATTCAGCCATGGTGTTGACTCATTTCACTCATGGTGTGTCTTCTAGTATATAAAACCCTTATATGGACATTTTTACATGTCAAAAAAACAAACAAAAAAAAACAAACTCAACAACAACCAACTACTTGCTTTTTGCCCGAGGGAATCTTTAAAGCTACTTCTTTGCTTTTTTTTTTCATCTCTAATCATAGGTTATACACACACACACTGATTTCCAAAAATGCTTTCACGGTGTAACAAAAAAAGGGACAGTCTGAGTAACTAACGTCTGGAAAGCCTTTCAAATAATTGCGTAAAACATCGTAGGTCAAATATTATTTGTTTCCACAATCACAGATCCAACATATAGGAGTTTATGCTGTTCCAATTATGTGTGAATAAATACATAAAACCACATTGACCTTATTGCCGCATGTTACAGCAGCTGTGTATAACTGGAAATGTAGTCAGGCAGATATAATCACTGTGAATCTTATACTGTCCGTGGGTGGTGCACATTGACAGGTGTGTCCTTGCAGACTTCTGTTTTGTGTTTTTTTGTATATATTGTGGCAGCATTTTAAAATCCCTACAATAAACCAAACAATCTACAACTTTATTCACATAATTGACCCTTCCACTATAGCTTTGTAGTCCTTCTGCTAAGTCAGTTTAAAGAAAATATGTCTTTGCCTAATACAACAATAAGGTGTTTTTTTCATGTTTGTATTCATGTAGTTCTGTGAATGAAACACACATGAACTCATGCAGCTATTTCACAGCATGTGGACACTTGTCTTCAATTTTTTCTTTTACATTTAAATTGGGGAGGCTGCAAGGTGGAGCAGTGGCTAGTACTGTTGCCTCGCAGCAAGAAGGTCGCCGGTTCGTGTCCCGGTGAGGACACCTGGGATCTTTCTACGTGGAGTTTGCATGTTCTCCCTGTGAAGCGTGGGTTCTCTCCGGGTTCTCCGGCTTCCTCCCACAAGGTCCAAAACCATGTAGAGGTTAGTTGGTGATTCTAAATTGTCTGTTGGTGTGAATGTGAGTGTGCTTGGTTGTCTGTCTCTAAGTGTAGCCCTGTCTGTCGCTCTCTCTCTCTTTTTTTTTTTTGGCAAATGAATAACACTCAAAACACAACTGCAGGGAGGTGGAGAGAGAGTCTGTAACCATAACTGCTCTGTTTTTTGTTGCTATGATGGCGTATCAACCTGGATTATTTACAGTATTCTTATATGTATATTATTAAGACAATGTCTGCTTTTTTTTGTTTTTTAATGATCCCTGGTGGCGTCCCTCCCGGTATATTGCGCCACCCCTTGTCTGAATGAATGCCTGTATAAGTAAAGCTCCAAGTAAAGTCTCTGTAGGTCAGCATAAGTACCAGACATATTCTGCAGAGGGAACATTGTTTGGATGACTAAAGGGTCAGACCAGGCTCCTAAAATAAACCAGTGAGGGTCACACATACGCACACATTATACAAAAGATAAAGAGGAAAAGGATTTCATGTAAACTGACTGATACACTGGTCTCATATTTACTTTTCATTCTCTTGCATAACGCTGTATTTGCACTGCCATCGTGTCTGAATAAACTGGGAAACACAAGCGAGCGAGAGAAAGGCGGCGGCGGCGGCGGCACCAGAACAGAGCAGAGCGACATTAGCGGGTCCACTAATGAAGCTGCACAACAAAGCGGGGACAGCCTGTTCTCGGCTCTTACTGGCAGCTGGCCACCAAAAGCCACAGCGCCGTGTCTGCTACGGTGACTGACAAAAGTTTCCAAAAACAAGCTTGCAGAGAGACAGAAGGCAGCGAGGAGGTGGGTGACAACAACTTCCAACGGCAACCAGACAGAAGGCAGCAGCAGCAGCAGCACACGAGGCTGTTTACACATTAGAAGCCGTTTAAATTCTCTCTTAACCGCCGACTGATGTTTTTCATGTCGCATGCAGGGATTTCTTGCAAAATATCGGTTCATACATTAACATGAAGCAAGACCTTGAACGGCAGAGTTAATCAACACACAATGAGCTGCAAAAAGCAGGAGGAAACTACATAGTAAGAGGTGACATGAGGTTTTTATTTTTTTATATATTTTTTTACATTTACTGGTCCTTCTAGTGGTGAACCACAAGCTTAGTACAGTAACACTTGGCCTTTGAGGGACATTTATAGTCTTAAAAGTGAACAATATGCGTCTGGTAGTTCAAGGGTAGTTCACGAAAATCAAACCTAACATGAAACATTTCATTTTACACAAATTAACACAATGTTTTTTCAATGATAAAAGCTTAAAACTAGGCAAAGGCTGAACTGAGAAGTATGGAATATAAAAATCTGACTGGTATGTAATGGGGACATGGAATATGCACAATACATACAACATAAGGCCATATATGTTTGATTAATACAGCTTGCATGAAGAATTATCTAAGCGGACACACACACAACAGGATGATAGCTTACAGTGTTTCAAATTCTCTCAAATAAGTCACAATACAACACTTGCGTAGCGGTGGTGGTGGTGGTGGTGGTGGTATCAAATGACCAGCTGAGATCCTGTGTTTTACAACGTTATGTTTTACTTCCTACTGTGATCACCTTCACAGTTTTAACACTTCATAATTCCTGCGACGGTTAAATTGAAATATGCTACAATTGAAACTCACAGTTCAGTCATACATATTGACTTTCCGCTCAACATTCAACGCGATTCAACTTTAAAAGTCATTTCAGCTTACATGGGTTCATTGCTAAGGCAGAAGGTAGGTAGTCAGCGACATTCACGGTCCTCTAACGAAAGGATCACATTTACATCTCATTTTAATTGAAGAACACTAGAAATGGAACGACTGATCTGATGTCCGTGTCATCTGAGCAAAAGTAAGTTCAGTGTTGTGGTTGTTGTGTGAGAGCTGACGACGAAACGCGCAAGTCGTGAAATGAAGCTGCTGAAAGCTAACAACAGACTTTGCTCCCTTTGTCATAATGCTGGAGTCACTGCTCCCATTCTGTGACTCACTGATACGCATTTAATCTAAAAACACAACTTCACTCAGGAACTTTACAAACTTTAGATGGTGAAATGAAAAGTAGCTAGCGTGCTTGTTTCTGACTGTGACAATTGAGGCGATTAATACTTGACTTGTTCCATTTTCCATTAGCAGCATTTAGTCATCATGAAATGAAACGGTGAGCTTTTGTTGGGTTAAACTGAAATCAGCTTCAAGAGGTAATAGTTCAGGTTAGTTATTGCTGTGCATTTGTCTTTCTTGATATCAGCGATGAGCGCTTTTCTCCTTTATAAGTTTCCCTCTCGCGTGAGAGTCGAATCCAGGTACAATGAGCGTAAATAAATCCAGCACCATCCTGATAGCGTTCGGTGCCGTCTAGCACTTACAGTACACGTTTATACATTTCCTTCTTAATTATTCTTCGATTCGAACTACTTCCGAGTGTTCTACCCTCGGTCCGCCATCACCGATTGCTCTCATACTTGCCGAGGTTCTTTGGCTCCTTGCTGGGTACGCACCAGTCATCCGCCTCGATGCTGGCCTGGTAGTGCCTTAAGGCGGACTTGTTGAAAACAGGCAGTCTCTCCACCGACTCTGAGGACAGGGCCTTGGTAATACGGGACAGAAGGGAACTGGTTACTCTAGGGCCTTATCACACTGATGAATGAGAGTCACATTGAGGTTGTTTCTCATCAGGCTTTCCATCTGTGCTTCATTACAACTTTACACACACTTTAAACATTAACAGCAAACATCCCTGTTTTCTAACATGCAGCACGGGGCGCATTATGACCTAAAAGAAGACACACGAGTTGCACATTGTCTGCATTAATCACTTTACATCTCCCACCACTCAGGCTATGCAGTACATGCAGCTGACGGTACATTTGTATGTGAACTTTGCATCAACTTGGCCTCCACAGTTATTTCTGACATAGTGACAGAGCTGTTCTCACCTTCAAGTAAATGACAGCTGACGTGCCGTAGCCCTCCATAGAGTAGAGCTGCAGGTCTCCCTGGAAATACCTGGCATACAGACGGGAGATGGGAAGGCCGTATCCAAAACCAGCCTGAGTGAAAGAGGAGGAAGAGGAGGAGGAAAATAATAAGACATTATAGTATTTTTTCAGATTGGCCTTTCAGGGAAAGTTGCTAAAACATTGCAACATCAAAAACATCAAGTGGCCTCTGGAAGTTTGCTTTAAAACAAGTCTTCAGTTTCTCTTGTGGGTTACAGTTTAAACCCAAAAAAATGTTGCTGAGTTTGTTCCTGTTTGTAATAAGCTAATTAGCAACCTTGCTCAGTGGTGCGAGCCTCAAGTTTTGGTTTGCCTTTAATGCTTGTTTGACCCCAACAGGATTTCACTGAACTCTCAGGTTCAAAATGTGATCCAAAGCTTGTATATTTTTGTGTCCTGGCAAAGGCACTTAATGTTTAAGATTTAAGAGTAACAATAAATGTCAGAGAGTGAGTGTGACAGATTTGGTCTTACCAAAGGTGCGTTACGAGAGTTGTCTACGTGGACAGGACTGGGAGCTGTGGAGTACATGTAGCTAAAGAGACGTTCAATCTTCCTCAGAGGGACTCCACCTCCTCTGTCCGACATCTATAAATAAAGGAGAGGTATGCTACGTTTACAAGGGTCCTCTTATTGTTCTGCCAGCAGGCTCATGCTCAGCGAGCCTGGGCCGTTTGAAACAAACCTAAACAATGTGATGCTTTGTGTAAAGTCTCAAGTCATCAGGGTTAGTTTTATTTACAGTACACACTGAGGCGCAGCAGTGTGGCCTCTCAGCGTCCTCATCTACCTTGATAGTGAGGTCCTCAGCGCCGAGCGCAACGCGAACTTTGATCGGGGGCAGCGTGGGGCTCGTCTCGTGGGTCTCTACTGTAGCTCTCATAGCGTTCTGACAGAGAACATGGATTACAGAAGGAGTGAGCAGAGTCATGGTGGGAAACAGTACCTGAGTGGTTTTCAGCTTTGTGGTTTACTGTACCTTGAACAGCTCAAACAGCATGTGGTAGAGATGAGACGGCACGTATACGATGTGCAGGGGCTGGCCAGGGGTTTTGGCTGTGAAACATTTCAGAGGATTGACTGTGAGAAAAAGTCTGCTAATGTGCTGAATTGGTGGATTGGTGAGTGTGCAGCTGGAAGTTGTGAACACAGGCCTCTTAGATAACTACGGAGCAGTGACAAATTAAAAACCTGAACCCTCGACCCCTGCGGTGAGGGGGGTTTGGTAACTCTGTTATGCTGCTGGGGAACATTTTGCTGCCATGGCTACAGCACAGCGAATCAATACAAAGTTGTCCTCTTCTAGGATGACAGTGTCCCCATCAATAGGACATGAAGGGTCACTGAGCGGTTTCATGAACATGATGTGAATTATTTGTTCTGGCCTTCAGTCGCCAGATCTGATCACCTACAGGAGATTTTGGACTGACTGGTTAGACAGCGCTCTTAACCACCAGCACCACCATTAAAACACCAAATGAGGGAATGTCTTCTGGTGTTCATCTCTCCAGTAGAGTTCCAGAGACTTTGAGAATCAATGCCAAGGAAAAGAAAAGCCATCCTAACACCTCACCAAGACAATTTATGTTGGATATTATTTTCATTCTTTGTCACCCGTCTGTGGATGTTCTTTTTGTGTCTATATTAGCTGTGACACGAGACAAGAGAGATCTTTCATCTGAAAAACGATTAGAGCCCCTCTCACCAAATTAAGCGAAGAACAAGGCAGAACAATTTCCATTTATAATTTTGATTTATATTATCTAGCCCTCATTGGGCAGGAACAGCCGTGCCGAGTTCTGATATTTAAAATGCTGATACATGTTCAGACTAATATACTGCAACATAAGTTAAGAATATAGATTCTATGACTATAATATAATGTTATAATAACTACCGTATTTAAGTATTCCATTATTACATGTATTTCAACTTTTCAAAAACTGTTTTACTCGTAGATTTTAATACTTTTTACATGTGCAACTATAATTACTGCTTCATGGTTAATATGATTTTGCCAATTAGTCCAGTTGCAGTTTACATTTGTGACTTGACCTTTGAACTTCTGGTAATAAAATGGCATACCTTCTATATATGTATATTATATATTATAAGGATATCATGTGCATTATCATTATTTTGTACATTTACAATCCATTTTTTTTTCATATGAAAGAATCTGTCCAATATCAACAATACCTATATCTAGTCAAGTACTTACATAAACACACTGTCTCCTTTGCTGTTGTAACGCTGCTAATTTTCCTGCCGTTGGATCAAAAAAAGGCTTATCTTATCTTGTCTTATATTACAAAACTTCTTGAGTTACGGCCAAAAACTTGTTCCATAAGGTCAAAGCAACATTTATCTTTCAACAACAAATCCTAATCAGTCCATTCTTGAGTCCAAATGGATGTTTGTGTGCCAAATTTTTAAGAAAAAATTCCTCCAAAGGTATATTCAGGTACATTATGAAGCAAGTTTGACATAGCCGGGCTTTCTATGTGTAAGCCAGCTCAACAAAAACCAAAGCCCCAACCAGAGATTACGTGTATCACGAAGGTGGTTATTAACTTTCTTTGTCAGCTCAGACTTTCTCCTCTAGACTGTACGCATTCACATTAAAAGGGGCGTTTAACGCGTCATGTGACTCTTCTTCAGCACAAAATGAAACGATCGTGTGCAGCTGCTTCAGTCAACACGCTGTTTTAAAGGAGAACAACGAGGAACATCAAAAAATGATGACGACAAAAAGCGCCCCTACTGCAAATGGTGCAAGACAGAAATGCTGATAGAAAACTGCGAAACATGCGAAATATAAAATGTTCTACTGATGCAGCTGCTTATTTCTAACTGACAGCTGCACACCAAAGTTAAACTTTAAACTTCATACATTTAAACATGATCTTGTATTGAAGTGCATTTAGGTCTGACACTGTCCCATAATGCAGGAAATCACTTCAATTTTTGGCCCAATCAAAGCGAAATTAATGTTATTGATTGAATATTTTCTGTAATAAATACCACCAGAATAGTGCATTTTCTAATCTGTGTTCCATCAGCTGCAGCACCAGCAGAGTAAACAGACTTGACAGCAAATCAGAGCCAAACATAAAAACATATTTACGTGATTTCTGAATCGCCAGCTAAATGCATGTCTGGTTAGCTCCACAGCATCAGTTACCATGGAGATCTAGCAGGTAAAAAGAGAGCCACCTTCGGACACTGAAAACTCTGGCTTTAAGCTCAACATACCTGCCAACCCACTCACTTCATAGTACAGCCCTCAGGCGTTCAAGGGATATTGCAACGCAACACCTATAGTCTTGCCCATTGCCTGTGTGGACAAATAATGAAGTAAATAAAGTTTACTTCTGATTAGGTTGTCGCTTCTTTGTTGGTTGGTTTTGTATGGTTCAAGTTAAAGCTGAGGTAGGCAGTACGTTTTGGTGTCACTGGACACTAACCTTCCAACATGTTGCAGTTCAAGTGGCTGAGAAGAAAGTAGAGTTTTGTACCTCCTCCTGGCTTTACTTTTGGGTTTGTTTGTTTTTTTCTTTTTTTGCCTTTCAGATTTCTGCCTACTGTAGCTTTAAGGAATGTCTAATGCTGACGCTGAGTTTTTGGCGGATTGAGCTGACAGGAAACAAACACCCAAGGCCTCGGTTAAACCAACAAAGATTAGGTTCAGTTGCATTCAGGAGAACACCAGCAAAATGATCCCTTCACAGAGATGACTGCAGCAGAAAACATTCAGATAAAACAATGCAGAATCCTATAAAACAGAGTCCTTTTGATTGCTTTTAAGACTTACAGTTGACTTCGGTGATCTCCATATCAGGAGAGGTCAGGTAATACTGCTCACACAGCATTTTGGAAGTTTCATAGGCATCTACAAAGTCAAACACAGCAAAGTGTGGTCATTTTGTAAGCATCAGATATTTTAACCACAAAAAATAACAGGTCCTGCTAAATGGAGAACAACACTAGAAGACATCTTGTTTTTCTCTCTCATGGTGAAGCAGTTTACATAATATTCAAAGGTGGACCTATTGAAGCCGCCAACATAATAATACCACTTCCCTACACTAAGTATATTGACTCAAAAATATCAGATAATAAAAGGTCAAACCGTTCTCAATCTGTGCAAACAGAGAGTCGTGAAAAACAGATAACACATCCAGTGTGTGTGTGTGCGTGCACAGATAACAGCACCGGAGCCAAGAAATATCATTCATTACCTTTTACTACCTCCACAGCGTCACAGGTGGGGTCAATGCTGCCAATGTGTTTGGGATGGGCTGGGTTCACGCTGCCGTCAAAGATTAATGCTACGGGACACAAATAACAAATCACAAAGGAATAGACGCAATTCGCTGTTCATGATGTTACACGTTTGTGCATACTAAAGTACTGTATACTGTACAAGGGACTGTCAATAAGGGCTTGTTGACATAGCTGTACATACACTCTTGTTCTGCTGGCAGTTGTGCCAAATGCATTAATCCTTCAGGGCAATAGAAATTCTGCACTGCTGTAAAACTACCATTGTGGCACTTGTGCATCAATTAGACTTTACTCATGTCTGAGATCACTGCTTGGTGCCGATTCAGCACATCATACGTAATGTAAACATTCCCTGTGGAGCTGCAGATTACTCGCAGCTCTGCAATGAGTAGGATCTTGTCACGTGTCTATCTTTTACCTACATCTTCTCAAATGTTTCATGGGGAAGAAAATGCCCTCAAAACATTTGTTAGATTCTCACATGAGGTTTTAAATTGCAGCTCTGAATGTGAACATAACTGTATAAGAAAACCCCCACAGGGTCCCCTTAATAACATGAGCTGTGAGTGTTAGCAACCGTGTTGATTAACTCACAGTTAATCACAGAGTGCTATACTGACTGTGCTGGTTCATGAGCATGCGTGTGGAGATGCGGCTCATGTAGAAGCGGTCCAGGAAGTACTGAACGTTCTGGTTGGTGACGGGGTCCACGCCAAAAGCGTCCTTGTACTCCACCACGCCCTGAGCCATGGTGGGCACCACGTTGTTGTGCCGGTTCCGGACGTTTACCAGAGTCTGTGTAAAGCTGAGGACGACGACACAACGGACGTGTAAATATGTGAGTGTGGGTATTCGTTATATCATGTTTGTGAGGAAATGTGTGCATTGGCATTCACTTCACTGCGTGCACAAAACACAACAGATTGCTGTAGATTCACAGAGCAGCAAAAGTCTATATTTTCTAGTTGTTTCAAGTACATGTCGCCTTAAGCAAATTCCAACTTTGTAAGTGAGTTACAGTTTTATTTTCAGTGATTAAACTGTATATCATGATTGCAGTTATTTAAAAAAATTCTGTATTTTGCCGACAATAAATACACAGTAATACAAACACACATGAACACACACTAAGGATGTGCCATTGTCTAGTGTTGCTGCAAAAGCTGATCCCAGCAGATTCCAATATGCTGGTATCAGCAGCAAGGCAGCTCATCACTCACCACAGCATTTATACATTTATTTTCCTGCCTATGATACATTTATCTCAACCGAAAGGAAAACAATCTGGCTGCAAACAAGCATCATCTCCCACTTCCTCTCGCCTAAAGGTACAAACTGAAGGGAAAAACGTAGAGCGTCCTATGGCAGATGCAGCAGAGCTACATTAATAATAACAGCATTATTTAATCAGAAAGTTAAAGCATCTGCATTCAAAACAGTAAAACAAGTTCCAACCAAATGTCAAAAGTTGAAATACGCACTGAATAAACAAGATAAGTTACTTTGAACGATAAGAATTGTTGCTGTGGACGAACTGCACGGATGGTTCCTCTTTGTGGTGCAACACGTTGAAGCATTGGACCACTGAGTTAATGCATCTTTTAAAATTATACTACAACGAACCTGCTACTTTTGAGTCTAAAAGTAGCCTTCAGCAGCTGTCCAACGAAAGACAGTATGCGAACGATGTGAACCACAGTTGTTTCCATATCAAGTATTATGTTTTCAGACAGTCAGATCACCCTACAGCATTAACAAATCACTGCAGAATCACTGGATTAGTATTGACCATTATTCAGAGGCAAAACCAAGACTGAGGCAGAGACATTTCTCAAAATCAATACATATAAGAAAGTGTAAATGACTTACCTTGTCAGGACTTCCTTATCGTCTGGATCTTTTTCTAAAAAATCTATCAGCTCCAGCAAACTCTGAGAATACCTGACGGACACAAAAAGGTAGACTGTAAAACAGGACACACAAACACCTCCAGTTTGTTTATTTTATATCAGAATGACAAAAAAGGCCTGAATATAATGGGGAAAGGACATATATTTGTTGATTACATTCATGTGAAACTTCACATGAAAGCACTAAAAACCAATTGGAACAGCAAGCATTGGATTTCTGCTGTATCAGATTTGCTTAAAAATGTCTTCATCGGTTAAATAACTGTGTAATTATACTGTATTTCCACATGACACTGTCCTTAGCATTAAGTAACAGCTCCCAGACTCTTTATCCAGCAGTGGATGAGGACGACTTGGGTGCTGAGCTCACTGAGTCACACTCTTCTGCACTTTAGAAAAACTGGGTGAAAGGTGAACGGCTGTGTGGCTTTGATTTCAACGCACTGGGTTTGTCCCTCAATTGACCTTCAGCCCTCAACTTTTGGATCGAGTCCCGCAGATGTACGTCTTGAAATAGACTTATTTCGCGAGCTTGCCCGGAGATATCAAGGCGTCACCTCTCTTACCTCAACATCATTAAAAAGTGATAGATCAACCCTTCTGCTGAGAGCCCTGCAAAAGTGGGAAGACAACGGTGCCACAGCGCAGGAGGTACATGGCCAAATATAGTTGCCACTGTGGTTCCTCTGAATAGAGTGGGGGTGGGGTGTTGACTTTTGTTGGTAGCATGTCTTCACGTGACTCGTGCACCGAGCATTATCCACACGCTGGGGTAAAGTCTGTAGCAGAACATTGGGTTTTAGCATGATGCTACAGGGAAGTAGCTGCAGGGCTTGTAAAACCAACTCCAACTAGTGAAAGTAAACACACAGGACTTCTGCTTTGGCTTTAAAGATAATCCGCTAAACTCTTAAGTCCTGTAAACCAGTGGTCTTTTAAATGCCGGTGCTGATATTTATAGAGATTAGGGGGACCGGTATATCATGCAGATATCATGCTTTTTCTTTTTTGTTGTTGCTTTGCATTTGATCAAATAGTGTAATATTATCAACATATAGATATGTAATGTATACATAAGGAGTAGATAGTAGTAAATTGCGGAACTTAAATCAACATAGATTTAACAGTCATTGTGTGCATTGTCTCTGTTTGCTTTAGTAGATCTGCCCTCTGCTACAGTGAACTTATTTTGCATTTTAAAATAGGCATCCACAAGTAATCAAGAAAATAAACTTTATAAAAAACAAATCCGTAGGAATGAAAAATAAGGACTTAGTGCATTTAACAACAGCATTTATCAACAGATGCCATTTTCTACTTGTGATTCATGTTGCGATATGTTGTGTCACTTGTGTTGCCAAAGCACAGTGCTGTGCTTCTGTTTATGGATTTATCTTAGCTCACATATCTGACCTCATCTTCTAACACTAAATCTATCTGTAAAGTGGCTAATTTCCAATTGTGAAATGCCTAAGTCAAGCATCTGCTTTGCAAAGTTCTTTGCTAATTTTAGACTTAACATCTGACTAATGTTCTATCTCAGGTCTGAAGATGTGACATTTCTTTTTTTGCCGTCCTCGTGAGGCACAAATGGCATTTAGTCGGCCTGAGTAATCGGTCAAACGATTAATCCGTCTATCACTAATGCAAACAAACTAGGCTTTGCTATCCTTTGACATGCGTGTATCTGTAAACTAGAGCTAGAACACACCAAAGTAGGGTTGAATCTCACTCTCACTAATGTCCACCCTATAGCACCTTATCAGAAGAAGTGAAAATGATAACAGCAACTTTGGTGACAGTTAAAACCTTAGAAGAAATATGACTACCAGTTCTCCTACACGTACACACCTGTGCTTAGCGTACCCTGAATGTTTACAGCCTTCCACTCCTAGACCACGTACACAGTGCACCTTGATATGGGTGTGTGCACACAGGTTCATATATGCTGGTACAGCTCCTGTCTGAGCTCCTGTTTGAGGGTCGTCGAGTACAACAGGCATGCAACAAGTGGCATTCTTCAAAGTTCCGAATCTGCTCTGCATCTTTATGGTGCAACAGTGAAACGAAACAGTGACAACGCCTTACATAACATCATAAACTACAATCACAGTGCCCTTCAGCTCAACTACAGAAGATACAGGAAGGTTATGTTTTATATCTGAAGCTAAATATCCAAGTTTTGGAATATGATGGGAGTTTACTTTAGGGGATGATAAGGAAGGGGCTTCAGTGACCCAGATGCCACTGCTTCAGAGCCCTGTTGTGCTGAAAATTGAAGTTTCTGTGTGCTACAAGCTTTGTAGCAGATCCCGTTCCTGGCATTACCCTGAATGGCCAGCTGATTTGTTTGTGCAGATTCTCTGTCATCGAGGTCATGGTCATCATATAACCTTCAGTAGAGGGCAGCTGGACCTTTTTTTTTAAGGTTCCTGAAGGCATTTCACCCCTCATCTAAGAGGCTTCTTCAACTTCAACTGAAGAAGCCTTTTGGATTAAGGTTTATACATCTTTAAGAACTAACAAAAGAGGAGTTCTACTGAGGCTCTTAGGACCAGTTGAATAGCAAAGGATTTTAAAATAAGATAAAGCAGACACAGAGATGACATTGTGATATTCCTTCCCATCCACTTGCTTTACGTTATTGCAGAAGTGACATCTGATGGACTCTCTAACCATTCCTAGGGGCTTTCAATATGTTTTTGGTGCAACAAAATTGATAAAAAGAGATGTTTTCAGGATATCCTACCAACTGGTGAGCAGCTTCAGGGATGGAGTGCTGAGGAGTTTGTCTGGGAGGAAATCAATTTCCTTCATGATGTTGGCCAGTCTGACAGGCAGCTCCTGTCGCAGGAACACAAAGGAGGTCTTCTCACATGCATTGGCCGAGCCTGCAGTCACATGAGGGACAGCATCAGGAAAAAAATTAAAACCATTAGGCAAGCATCAACCCACGACCCCCCCTGTCAGAAACAGAAATCTATGACTGCAAATGTTCCTAGGCACCACAGACTTCAGTGGATCTTTACTTGGAGGAATCTGTTGTGCAAATAAATGCAATGAACCTTGCTGACCCACGATAAAAAAAAAAAAAGTCTGTTTACTGCATACTCAGCTGTCAACACACACAAAGGGAATAACATGAGTTGTGCAACAGCCATGTGGTAAAAACATCTGACGACATATTGTCCAGTAATCTATCAATGCATCTGATCGTAACGCTTACCAAAGTCAAGGAACTGCTTCATCGATAAGGGAGAAGGTGAAAACTTAGAAAACCTCTCCACTTGTTTCGGGATCCCCGCTACGGAGCCGTTTTTCAGCAAAAACTGAGCGAACTTCATTTTTCTCTCCCCTCTGCAGACCCCAGCTGTCAGTGTATTAGGGACAAACTGTCCTTTCGTTCTTCAACACAATCCAGTTTGACGATTTCTAGCTAGCAGGGCTAAAGCTCGGCGTAACACCTAACATCTTTGAGGAGGCTGTTTACGGGATCCCCAGCATTAATCTTCTCGAGAAGCGTCCTTCCATGTTTGCGAGTTGTTTTGTGTCCTCCAAATTCAACTTCCAGCAATGGGCGGTGTGAGCTGTTGGTGGGCGGGGCAAAGGGAACACTGGCACCAGCATCAACCAATGAGCTTTAAGATTCTTAAACTGGGGCGGAGCCATCCTCCCAATGCTGGATCTATACAGTCTGTTTTATGACAGCATCCTCTACCGACGATAGACTAGAAATACGTGTTTGTTGTGCATATAAACGGTTTAAACTTAAAAACTAAATTACCACAAGAACTACCATACTACCTTAAAAACTACTACAATTATTCGGGCAACAAACAGGTGTTTGAACGAACCATTTAAACAGACGCCGCCTCGTTTTTTTTTTGCCCTTAGCGAAAATTCAACCTTTCCAACCTCGTACTGCTTCCTCCTTTCTTGTCAAAAAAAAAAACTCACCTAGTGGTTCAACGCCACCTAAAAAGCACCTACACGTGTTAATTCGTCTGTTTTTGTCGTTTCAACGCGCTTCTCCAAGTCGCCACAAGATGGCGGCGTTGCTCCCGGTGACAGCGAGTGAAAGAAGGTGGGATTTCCTTCCTCCTCCAGCTCAGCATCACCCTGCTCTTCCTCGGGATGTATCGGCGTGCGGTGCACCTGTTTCATGTCGTATTTGGCTGCTCTGCCGCCGAAATGCCCCTTTTTAACCCGTGCGACCAGTAACCACCACGAGAAGGGTTTGACCGACCTGTTCGGTGGTGGCAGAAAAGGCCTCGGTGTGTTTTGAGGGAACCGTTTAGAGGATGTGTTGATTTTTTTTTCTCCCCCCAGCAGTGAGACAGCATCTTTGCCGGGTGACACATCATTATCACTACGAGTGGATAAGGTACGAGTGGAACAATAACACCACAATTACACTGTTGTTTTCGATGAAATAGCCCTCTGTTTGTGCAGGTGGCTTGCGAAATTCACAGTAGGAATATATGGTAAGGCCTTAAACCGCGTCGACGTTTGTATAAACGGTGTCACATTTGCAATTAGCTTGCTGCGAATGCATTAATTTCAAGCTAACGTTAGCCACTTACAGCACCACACTAATGTATGCATATTTAGCTGTGTATTTTTCCTCTTATGTCAGTTCCTACGTTTTATTGTGTTGCAGTGTAAAACGACCTACATAGCTTTATACACACACATATAGACTTGGCCTTAATTACCTTATTAATTAAATATTCATGCTAGCTTTTGCTGTTTGCTCACCAAACATGAACCGTGGAGAGGTTAGCTTTTGAACTCTTTGCATGAAATTGCCATCAAATAAGTGTATTGCAATGTGTTTGGTGATATTTTGATTGAATGGGCTAAGGAGCTAAACAGAAGAGGTGGCAGCTTGAATATAGCCTACACATACTGACACAAGTCTCAAAATCCCTCTTCATCTACTGTTGACAGCTGTTTTGCCAATATCGAGTCCTTATTGTTTGCAAGATTATTGGTCTGCTCTGTACAGATGTATAACTGCCACACCCATTTCATTTTCTAAAACATTAGTTCGGCTTACTGGATAAACTCCTCTATCTCGTATGTAGTGAAACCATAGCATGTTGTGCCATACGTAGTTCATCCCTGTCTGGTCCTCTCACTTTAAGCCCCACGCAACACCATGTCGGACAAAAGTGACCTAAAAGCAGAGCTTGAACGCAAGAAGCAGCGCCTCGCCCAGATCAGGGAGGAAAAGAAAAGAAAGGAGGAGGAGAGGAAGAAGAAAGAGGTAAGGAAAAAAGTGAGTAAAGTCACACTACTCGCACTCATATTGTATCCCACTCTAGTGTGTGTTGTTTTTGTGTTTGACTGCTTTTTGTCAGGCCGTGACACGTAAAAAGGCCGAGGTTGTGTGTGTCCATGCATACAAACATCTATGTGTTTGCAGAAGGTTGGTGTTGGAATTTTGGATCAAAATGTGCATACACGTGCATGTTTTAATTAGTTTCTTTAAATCACGGCATGCGATTTGTGAACCTGTTCCTTGATATATGATGGGTAAGCGGGTGTTTCTCTATGTATCCCGAGCAGTCGGAGAGCCAGCAGAAGACAGAGGCGACCCCAGAAGATTCAGACTTAGATCGCAAGCGCAGAGAGACTGAGGCCTTGCTACAGAGCATTGGCATCTCACCGGAGCCTCCACTAGGTACATCACGTCCTTACAATCTAAATAATAAATTGAAATGTTTTGCCACTGTTCTCTTTTGATTGTGCTGCAAAAAAGTGATTGTTCAAATCAAAATAAATTTCACTAATTACATCTGAATAGTCTCGTAAGTAACCCTTTAACGAATGGACTACAGCCACCTTACAACAGATCTATTGTAAGATCCACACACATCCACCTACTGTATGTGTAATTTCCTGAACAGGCTGGTTATGCCTTGCAGAAAATACAATTATCAGAATGAAAATATAAAATCATTTGAGTTGCTGTGACTGTATAGTGGAGCAGTAATGTTTTTTGTTTGTTTACCATCACTTGATTCCATGATTTGCTTTGAGATTGCAACTTTTTTTGTAATTCATTTGATGTGACATGTTAAATTCCCCTTTATAACCTTCACATACCACCATTTAACTTGAGTGTGCCATACCCTCTATTAGTGTATTTTGACATAAATACTATTTCTGTTTAGTCATTTGGTTAAAATAATTGATCTAAATATTTCAAATTGCCCCTCGTGAATGTAGCTCCTAAGGTCATATCTTTGATTTTCTTTTGCACAAGCCTAAAATATTACAGTGCCTTGAATCCCCAAGGTGTCTGTCACCTCATGCAAGCTTTTGGCAAATCACTGTACTCTAGTGGTCTATAATTGTAATAACACCCTCAACACCTCCAAACTGGGTCACTGCTTTGCCTATTATTAGCTTAAGTTATTTATAAAGTGTCCTCAAAAGCAGCTGTGTACAAAAACAAGGGAAAAAAATTAAAAGTTCAATTGATACCCTGGTACCCCTCTCCTTTCTTCTAAACCTTTTTTTTTTCTTCTTTTGTCCATCACTTGTTCTTCTTTGTTGCTTTTATGCCACTTTCTTGAGCGGTCCGTTCTTTGCAGCTGTTAATGTAAGATATTTGTGATTTTCGTTATTCAGTCCCGACCCCTGTGTCCCCCTCCAAATCAGTGAGCACGCCCAGTGAGACAGGAAGCCAGGACTCAGCTGATGGAGGAGCAGCGGGCAGGTAGGCCAAAATCACACAATTCATTCAAAAGTTCAGTGTTGGACGTCTTTCCCGGGTTCTTTTGTCGTGTTCACCCCCTTTTGGTAACTCTGTAAAAAAGAATACAGCTTTTATTTTGGTAAATGAAAATGATTTTCAAATTTTTAAAGACAAAAACAAACTAATTTGTCACAATCTTATGTAACACAAGAAAACATTTTAGATGCTTGTAAAGAAAATACAACGCTTTCTCACATACCAGGCATGCTCTTTGAGAGGTTACCAATAATCTTGAAAGTCTGTCACACAGGCCTTAACTTGAAGGCATCATTTCTAAAAAAAAAAAAATTATAATTTCAAGGGGCTTTTGGCTTTGACTATTTCTGGTCCTTTTTGACATATTTTCTGTTTCTTTTCTTGTCAATGGCACAACAGGTTTAGGTAAGAATGGGTGTCACTAATGGTGAAATTGCCTTGTAAAGTTTTGAATGTGGTATCTGTCATTTGTCACGGCATCCAGTGTTTTGATGACCACTTTACAGCGTTTGATCTCATAGCTAGTCCTGAGAAATTAATCTCGAGGTAAGTGTCAGCTGTAGTCTTTCATACAAAGTGAATGTTAAATATCAAAATACTGAGAGAACTTCCATATGAAATACCCTCCACATTGGTAAACTTTCAGAAAGCAGCCTTGGTGAGCCAGTTAATGAAATATGTTCTGAATATAGAACAATGTGCATGGAACATATCATTGTAGGGAAGGAAAGTGGCTCATTTGATCAGAAATGACAAAATGTAAGCTTTTCCCGTTGTGCCTATGTTGCCCGTAGGTCGCAATCGCAGCAGTAATTAGCGTATGTGTCATACATGCTCCTTCCACTGCCGCATTTACTTACACGCCGCTTATACATTCATTACTCACCAGAGCAGTGCAGGAGCTGTTTATCTTAACTTCTGCACATAGCTGCTCTGGTGAATGCTGTTAAGACGAGTGGTCATCAAGCGCTTTCCATTTGCTTTTTAATGGCAGCTCAGTGTGCGGTCAATGTGTGAGTGATGCCTTCAGGGGTCATTAGTGACGTGTTGTTCTGGTATAGCCAGGGGTGGAATTGGGGCCGAATAACGTGTGAAAGTTCCTAATGCAAAGGAATTCTCTTATGTAAGATGTTTCATTTCTTTTTAGCTTTTACCAATTGGATTTTACAAATTGGTGAGTTAGTTCTAATGCCTGGAATGAAAGATTTTTGTCCCCCAAATCCACCCTGGATGATGGCATGCCATTTTGAGCTTCTCCATTTGTGGCTGTGTATGTGTGTGTCCCTTCTTAGGTCAGTTTTCTCTAAAAACAAGTCCCAAGCACAGAGCTCAAGGTAAGCATTTTCATGTCAAACCCAGGAATCCCCCTTACCTTCCTTTAGCTGAGGTTACCTGAACACAGAGGCACCCACAGTGTTGTCAGTGGTCGTATCGATGCTCCCATCATGATTTATAAGATCAGAACAGTGCAGTGGCCCTTCTTCCTTCATTTCTCTTCTCTGGTGTCTTCCTGTCTGAAGCCCTGCTGTCTCCCTTAATACCAGGTTGAAAGATTTCTGCTCGCATGAGTTGAGCCACAGAAGTCATTTCAGTCTTCGCAGAGCCGACAGTGCTGCTTAAAGTGTCATCACTGTTACTGTAAAACAGCCGGTCTGTCAGGCTAAAGAAATGTCCTGCCACTCTCACCTGGCGCTGTGTGGCACAAGCTGAATGTCTAACAGGCGTGTTTGCTGTCCCTGAAGGTATCATCAAGAGGTGTAGTGTTGTTGGGAGCATTATCCTTTTACAACTGCTGTATTTCAACCAACTTCTCATAAAACTCCATAGATTTCAGTTGCTTTTTGAGTTCCCCTTCAGTAAATGAGTCCTTCCTCCCCAAATGTGAAACAACTTAGACCTGATGAAGAACCATATAAATGCTCTGAATGAGTGCAGCTGTTTTCTTACAGTTTGTCCTCCTCATTGATAATGCATGTAAAGTACACTGTCAGGTATCGAAAGCCTTTATGTATGATTTCATTTTGGTTTTGATCACATGTTTAATTTTAGATTTTAATATTTTGAGCGCGTTATCCTATGAATGTGAGATGTAAATATAAATTAAAAACACATGAAAGCAGCCCATGTGCCATAATAAATGAAAAATACAGTACACATGTCCTGGGCACTGATGTTAGAGGCATACATTTCAAATTACAGACAGACAAGACGAAGTGTTTTTGAGTTAGAAAGTATGAATTTCTTTAACCAATCAATGAAGCATTAGAAGTATTATTTATTAGTTAGATAAGCCCTTCCTGTTGTCGTGTAGTTCCAAATTGGATCAATGTCAGTAGGGTTTTCTTTAATTGGATGTTGTAGATAATTTAAAAAAATAAAATCGTACAACCCTTTTGCAGCGTCTCCTTGTATATAAAGGTCACCAGGATGTTTGGACCTTCTTCCACACAACAGTGAAACATCTTTTGTTTCAGTGTATCAGCATTTTCAAATTCGACCAAGAAATCTATGACGACATATGAGCAGAGATCTTTAAATAGATAGCCTACATCGATGTATGAAATGAATGAAATCTAATATCTCCTTAATGTATAGCCCTCCCACTCTTATGTCCACTTATCTGAACATTTATCCACTAGCGGTGCTATCTTTGCATGAAATTCAGCTGTGTCAAGCTGTTCTCTAGATAAGTGGTCTGCGGGTGAGTGTGTGCGCGCACATACATGTGGTAATGTGTGTTTGTGCGCCATTGATACATGTGTGCCAGTGTTTGCGTGTTTGTTAAAATGTGTCTGTTTGTAAACATGCATGTCCTCTCTTGCCCCCCCTCTGTTGGTGACATCAGGACACTGCAGTGGGACACAGACCCCTCTGTGCTGCAGCTGCAGGCTGATTCTGAGCTCGGGTACATCTTTCTCCTCCTCTTGTTCAATGTCTGGAAAGAAAATGACACTGACAAACACATTTTTTTTGGCATTGCATGGCATAATCAAAAAGACACTTGGCTTTATGTAGATAGTACATTTAAAGGTTTGATGACTTTAACTTTACCCTTTGAAACAAAAAAAATGCTGCCCTGTCTACAGGACAATTTGAATTCATGAACAGTATAACCATGCTAATGAGAATATTTTCTCTGTCGTCCAGGCGCAGGATGCAGAGGCTGGGGGCCTCTAAGATCACACAGGTAGACTTCCTTCCCAAAGAGGTGGTCTCTTACAGCAAGGAGACACAGACACTACTTACCGCCCACCTGTCTGAAGGTGAATATTTTGTGTGTGTGTGTGTGCATGAGTGACATTCCATATCTTTCATAGTCTTTGTTAGATTCAAACAGTTTTAGGGTCTGTTTGGCACCAAGGGTCACAGGAATCACCCAAAGGTTTCACATTGCAATGCAAAAAAAGACTGCAACCCTGCATCTTACAAAGAGAGTGGCGAGAAGCGAGCAGGGAGTAGCTAACAAGTGGCTGACTGTCAATTATTGTGTCTGCAGTCACAGAGCTTCATGCTTTTGACTCCCAGTTATAAGTGGAAGCAGGCTGACATATGCAATTCAGCCAAGATTAGTTAATGGATGCTGGAGGATTGCAGTTTGTGTTGTATGTACATGACGATGTACATGTGTGCAGGCGTGTGTAGATACCGCTTTCAACCGTATTTCCTTTACAAGCTACACTTATGGACAGTGTAGTGTTCCTGAATAGAAAAGCTGCCATTTCGTCCATCGTGATTTGGTGTGGGAAGAAGTGGTTCACATGAAAACATTGGGTTTTTGTGCATGTGTGTATGACTGTGTTTATGTGTGTGTGGGCAGCAGCACGTGTGTTTTAAGAATGTGAGGTTATGTGGGCATGCATGTGAAAATGCATATGTGCATATTTGACTCTGCAAGTGGGCGTTCACATGTGTGCTGAGCTGCAGCGACTAAACAGATCCATATGTTCAAAACGAAGCTTTATTCCTGCACTGGATCTGGCAGAACATTGGTATTTGCAAATTTGGGGCATATACTGTAGATTTAGGTATTTTTCTATTGAAGCAGAAGGTAAATGGAGATTTGGATGGAGGAAAACTGGAGTTGTTCCACTAAATTGAACTCAAATCCTTTGCTGCTGGCATGCAGATATTCCATTCAGAAATGTCGTCTTCACGTGTTGGAATGCACATACAGCTATTCATCCACTTACTGTGTCCATCCAAACTGTCCGAAACACACAGACTCTCACGTATACATGTGCACACACGCTCCCTATCATCTTCTTTATCTTCCGTCTTCTAGTTGCCAAGACAGCTGGCAGCCATGTGACTGTGAAGGGGTTGTACTTCCTGCTTCCTGTCATTATAATAGATGGTCTGGTGTGGATTGCCCCCCTCCACCAACAACCACCATGCACATACACACGTCTGTCCTGATCAGCATCCAAATGGCCTGCCTCAACTCCCCCCATTTCCTTGACAGACCCAGGAATAGATCATTTATTCAACAAGTGCACAGACACCGACTCACATATGTGTGCTGGGAGACATGCACACAAACATGTGCCTACTTATGTACACAACAGAATCCGTTTTTCTTGGGCAAATTTGCTTGCACATACAATTCCTCAAGAAACAAACATGCAACCGTTGTAAAATGTGCAAGACAATTAGATATGAAGACTAACAGTTAACCAGACAAACAAATAAACATGCAGCTGTTACACTACACAGGTCAAGTAGTCTGTGTACACACAAACGGATACACACACTGTGAGTGGTTAGCGCCTGCAGCAGTGCTGTATGTCGATCCACTTTGGTTTGTTTGTTTTCAGGCATGTTCAGGAGGTGTGTGTGTGTGTGTGTGTGTGTGTGTGTGTGTGTGTGTGAACATCTGGGAACCAGAGCAGAGCTGTGGTGGTCTGCAGGGAGGTGACCTTGGCCTCAGGAGACCCTTTCTTTGCAGACTACCACAAAGCTTGTGTGTCTAGAGAGGAAGGAAAGAGGCAGATGGTAGCACCTGCCTGCATTTCTGGTCAGTCCGATTAATTTTGTTGATTACCGAGCCCAACTTGCAACACACGTTTTATGTTCAGTTTGCAGCTACAGGTTGTTTACATGATTAGGATCCAAATTAAATTTCAATAGAATCTTTAGTAGAAAAGTTTAACTTGCCAAATATCAAGACATTTATAACTCTAGGCGTTTAAAAATGTTAAGTGTTGTGAAATGAAGCATGTTAGGTAAAAGGCTATTGAACCCAACTTCAACTAAGGCTGGGCATCCTAAGAGCTTTAGAAGCATACGTGTGTTCTGTACATACAAATGTCTGTGTGTGCTTCTGTATTTTGAACATGTTTTGAGCATAGAGAGCCAATGATCTCAGTTTGAAGCTCGTGGTGTTTTTACAAAACTCCACAAGCGAATGTTAAGTGGTTCCATTGTCTAACAGCTTTGTTCTGATGACTGGATGAGGATTGACATCGCTGGGGTCTTGCTGTGGTAACAGGCTGCTCAGTCAACCAAATTAAAGAAGAATTTTGGTATATTTCAACCTGGTATGTTCTCCATTCATGTGGCTATTGTGGCTCTAAGTGGCATGCTAACTTTGCACTCCTGGCCTCCATTTCGAGGAAACTGACTTTAGCAGGGGCCAATTAGCATGAACTCCCTGAAGCTTTCCAAAGATCGCAGATTTTTACATGAATCATTTAAAACATTTGTTTTTAGACTTACTCACAGCAAAGTAAATGCAGAAATGAGCTCCCTGGAACGGACTTTTTTGCTAGCTATATCAGCTTTTACTTACCGTATGGAGAGCTGAACATTTGGTCCGGCTGGTCTTGGTCTTTTCATCCAGTTGATTTTAACGAGGTGAAACAACATCTCCAGGATTTTTTTTTATCAAAGCTGCAGATTTATTAGTTGCAGTTTTACAGCTGGGATTACTGTCATCCTTGGACACACGGAGGTTTTATTAGTATCCCATCAACAGGTCACACCTGTGGTGTAGTTGCAGCAACAATTTTCCCACTCCAACAGAGTAGTGAACCATGAGCTTTATAATCTGTCTTAACTTGCTTCCACTTTTACATCTCTTAAAACCTTTCTTGTCTGTCCTTTGAGTCTAACCTGGGGTAAAGCTTTGTGGCCTCTGTGTCTTGATCATAGAACACATATTTCACACAGACATAAGGTTGGGATGAAGTGGAAGAGAAACACAGCTGATTGCTCTGGAGGAATAAACGGAAGAGTGAATCTGTGAACTTAATCCGAATCAGACTAATTTTTTGACAAGCAGGTTTTCACACATGAGGGATTTGACGTGGTATTTTAGTGCAAAAATAACAGTAAGACAGCAACATATAGATTACAAGTGTTGGAAGTTGTAGCTATCAAGTGTACAAGATAAATAAGACGCAGTGTTGTAAGTAAATAAAAATAAAAATGTGAACAAGAATGATGGTGTTGTGTGACCCGAGGTGTGTAAAGCTCTATTTGGTTTGGATTTCTGTATTTGTTTGTAAACCTGTGTGTTTTTAGATAGTGTTAGTTTGTTGTCTTTTAGATCATTTCTACCAGCCATTTTAAATATATCATAGTTTATAAAAGTGGAGAAGTATGAGCAGCAAATGCCAAATTGAAATGAGAATTTCAGTACTTTTTTTTACTATAATTTTAATCGAACAATTCACAGTCTACCAAATGTTACTTGGGGCCTGAAATTGCTAGATGAGCCACAAAAGGAGGTAAAACATGTAATACTGACATTTTTGTGTGAGTGTCTGTCATTGTAGTCATTTTAAACAGTTGATAGATGAGTCAGGGATTCTCTCATGGCTTCTTTACCCAATGAACTTCTGACCTACTAAGTTCTCATGTTTGCACTTAAGACTAGTGAGGCTGGCTGCATGTGTTTGTGTGTGTGACGTTAGTATACTCTTAAAGAGAGTGTGTTAGGGCCTGAATGCATTTTAATACAATTGGATTTGATCTGACTTTGCGTGTGTTCGTCCTCTACACAGGAGTTTGTGTTTTAAAGCTCCCATAGAGTTTGTGTGTGTGACTCTCATTTAAACCAGTTAATGTTGAGGCTTTTCATTTCCGTGACCAATTGGCCTCCATATAATTGCGATGTGTTGCCGTCTACGTATGTTGTTTTCCCATTGGCTGCTCACTGATGTGTCTGTACCGAGTGCCCATTGTGCCAGGCAATCAGATTAGCCCCAGTCACGGTTGGCTCCAGCTATTTACTACTATTCTCGAGGTTATGAATGGACACGCTTGTTGTGAGGGATAGATGCTTTGTCTAAGGACATAGCAGGGAAATAAAGTAAGGTCTACTGTCGTGTGTGTGATAGTAACCTGGTCTACTAAGGTCAAACAAAGTGTGTTGGGTAGTTTCATGTGGTTAGATGTTGTATCCAACTGTGTTGACATCTTCTTAAAAAATGGAAGTAGCTTTAAATTTGAACTGACTATGCGCTCCTCTCCCAAGACAGTATCTAATGTATGTAAACGCTGATATCCATTTAGTGTTGTTGGTTGGTACTCTTAGCTTTATTCTAAAAAGTATTCAGAAAGACAACTAACGCAAGGTAATGGTCAGCAATAATCACAAAATAACAGGTGTATGCTTTTTAGATTTATAAGGTAGTATTGCTATGTCAGACTTTACAGTTCGTACAGTATGCAACGTCCCTAATCCTTAGACACTCACATTGAATGAGCAAACACTAAAAATAGAAGAAACCTCGATAAACGCAACATGGGAGGGATCACTCTTTGAAAGCGGTCACGTGTGCAGTAGATGGCATGTGCACAGAGTAGAGCGGTATAGTACGTTTACAGTAGGGACAATCAGAATACTAACATTACAGCCAGACAAGTCCACACACTCTCTAGAGGCGAGGAAGATGTGACATTTCACATAGTTCTTGTGAAATGTAGGCAACCTTTCTGTCTCTCTCTGTTTCCTCCTTCATTCCTTCTTGTAGCAACCAACACCCCTTTGGCCATGAATGAAGCACATGTCAGTACTTTGACAGCCCCACTCTACTTGATGACTATCAGGGTGTGTAATGTGAATGTGCTTACTTGAGATGTTGGCATGATAGGGAAAGGTCAAGGGGATTGTAGGCATTTTGTGAAGGTGGACGTGCACGTATGCAAGTGTGCAGGTTTGCATGGGAGTAGTGTGGGCCCGACCCAGTTTGTAGTAAATTGGTTTCGCTCAGTGGAGCCTTAAAAGACCCATAATAGGTCTCAGTGGAAAGTAGCCAAT